ATATATATATATATATATATATATATATATATATATATATATATATATATATATATATATATAGGCCTATATATATATACATACATACATATATATAGGCCAATATATATATATATATATATATATATATATATATATATATATATATATATATATATATATATATATATATATATATATATTATTTAGAGAGAGTTGAATATTTTACGGATTTATAATGTGGTTCCTGCCCTTGTGTAACTAGAGCATATAACTGTGCCTTTACTATTACAGTAAGGTTGCTGTATATACCTTTATATAGGTTAAGCTGTTAGGTTATACAGGGTCGATGTGAACGGTCCCTTTGCCATAGACTATTAAGGTGACAATGTCACACATAACAGTCCGTATAGTGTAATTTTTAAATGCACATCCCCATGAAGTGGGACAAGATATAAAGTGACAATTTATTTATTTATACAGGTACAGATATATATATATATATATATATATATATATATATATATATATATATATATATATATATATATATATCCATCCTATTCGAGTTTACTGATGTGAATAATTATTTGAGGCATATTGAATTTTTTTTTCTTTTGTTTGAGTGCTTTTCTGTTTCTGTAGTTCATTAAAATATAGGCCTATTGGCCTAACACAAGTTCTAATAAATAAAATGTGCTTGATTACTAGTTAAATTATAAACTCGATATCTATAAATGTTTTACAATTTTTATTATATTAATGCTGGGTAGGTTATATTGGATTGGACGTCGTGGCCTAAGAGGTAGAATGCTAAGGCTGCTAACCTTAAAGTTTCGAGTTCGAATCCGGGTTTAAGTCAGTAGAACGTCTTTGAGCCCACCCAGCTCTGATGGGTACCTAACTTACATTAGTGAAAGTAAAGGCGGCTGGGCGAAGTGGTGACCACACTTTTTCTTCAGGAAACATATGAACTCGACTTCACTTGCCCGATGCATCTCTAGGTCCTGAAGAGGACTCTTTATAATACTTTTATGTCAAGATAATCCACTTTATTATTGTAAAGATTGCAATAGAATATTGCATGCCATTTAAATATCAACTACCCGTTTTATAAGGTTATTCGAGCAAACGAGTAATGGTGTCACAGTTCTCCATTACATTGTATTTGTATGCCCTTCTCTAAACTAGTGCGTGATATCTGATCTCTTTTAGGCTTCACGCTTGGCTGACCATGAGAACTAAGTCACATTATAGATATATATAATAATATATATTAGGCCTATACAAAAGCGCGAGACAGTAGATTCACACGAACTTTAGCTTCCTGCTAGGATCTGTCTTTCACATCTGGTTTATGGATATACATCGTTTTTTCTACACTCTGTTTTTTCTACAATCTGTTTATTTGTGTGATGTCATAAAAGTCGATAAACAAAAGTTAGAATATCTTCAGACAAATGGAGAAAGAATACAACATACGTTTTATTTATGTGTACCTACTGTTTACTCTGGCTGTAAGCGAAACAAAAGCAGGTAGTTTTGTTTTCTTATTTCTTGTATACTTAACAAGTAGCGGTAAAGTTTAGCAAAACCCTGAACTTTTTTTAGAAAGTAACGTAGCGAGTTCTAGTTAGCAGGTAATTATATAATAACTACTGTTTTTGTACTTAATATAATTACATACAAATATATCTCAACTCTCTCTATCATTCCCTCTCTCTCTCTGTATATATATATATATATATATATATATATATATATATATATATATATATATATATATATATATATATATATATATATATATATATATATATATATATATATACAGTTTAAACTTACAAGGCCAGTATAAAGGGCGGTAGATCTTCTTGCTTTAATCTGCTACAAAAGTTGAATGAATGATTTTAAGGAGCACAACTATGATGTCGTAGGCTCATAAAACCTACACAGACTTATTAAATCTAGACGTAAACCTTTCGTAGACCTAGCAATGTTATCGTAGAATAAGACTCGTGTGCACAATTTTATACGAACCATACATACGTTACTGCTGTTTTGTAGTTTGTTGTTACATGGGCAAAGGCTAAGAAAGCTAATCATATGTCGCATACCAGATGTTCAGTGTTTCTTCCAGACTTTTTTCTCCGGGGGGGCACTTGAAATTTTCGGGGAGGCGGTAGACTATCTTCGGGGGGGGGGGGGGGGCGGACACTGTTAAAAGTATATATTTTCTATATAAATTATATAAATTTCATTTCGTTCGGGGGGGGGGGGGCGGTAAAATTTTTTCGAAGAGATGCCTGGAAGAAACTCTGCAGATGTAACAGGTAATACATAATTGTGTTGGAGGAAATCCCGTCCAACATTAAAAGATAAGAACGAGAAATAACAATCATCACGCATTGTTTATTATGACAGAAGGATTCTAATTGTAAATAAAGCGACAAAATTATGGATTGATAGTTTTTGCTAAGATAGCGGAGGCTCTCTGGCGTAGCAAGGTCGGTTGTCACCCTGTGTCAAAGGTGTCACCTACTAACTCTAACCAGATGCGTAGCGAGGGGGTGGGCGGGGGGACATATGTCCCCGGGCGCCGACCTTAGGGGGGGGCGCCAAATTGAAAGTTTGAGGGGGGTGCAAATGAAAAGTTCGACGGGGGGGGTGCAAATTGAAAGTTTGTCCCCGGGCGCCGGGAAGTGTCGTTACGCCTCTGACTCTAACAATTGTTAATTAAATTGCAAAAAATCATCGCTTTTGTAGTAAATTATAAAATTTGGTGTCATCCCCTCACCCCATACGTAGATTAACATATAAGTTATTACGATTCTCAACAGAACCTCTTTCCTCAGGCAAATTTTGCAACGTTTAATTGATGTAACCCCCCCCCCCCCCCGCCAACCCAACCCCTCCCCCCACCTGTTATGATAACTTTAAACTGTGCTCAGGTAATACTAATAATACAGGTCAATGTATCAGGTTTACGTCATGGTGTCACCCCCACACACACCCCCACACAGGGGCGTAGCGAGGGGGGGGCGGGGGGTGCGGACCGGGTGACACCATTTAGGGGGGTGACACCAAGGCAAAAAATAGCAAAATATATAATGAAAAACTTGAGGGGGGGGGGGTGCAAATCGAAAGTTTGAGGGTGGGGGGTGCAAATCGAAAACTTGAGGGGGGGGTGCAAATCGAAAGTTTGAGGGCGGGTGTGTAAATCGAAAATTTGTCCCCGGGAAGGGTCGCTACGCCTCTGGGGGGATGACACCATTATGTGCCGCACCGGGTGACACCCGACCTCGCTACGCCACTGCCCCCACACACACCCTTGTCCAGGCTCGACAATGTAACTATTGTTGAATCGAATTTCAAGTAAAAAAAAATCCAACTGCCCTGCAATTTAAGACATAAAGACACGCATGTAAAAAAAAATGTCAATGTCAGCGGGGAAAATCGCTTCACACATGTTTCCCCCTTTCAATACTACTGTTGAAACCGAACCGGTCACGCGTAACGGAATGACAAAACGTTGTCACAAGCCTCTCAGCACGGGGTCTAGCAGCCATGTAGACGACGTGACAAAAGCACTCAAGCGATAAGTTAGTTTTAGCACAGCGCACAATCTCGCCACATGACATTATATGCATCCTTGAACATGACCTATGAACCAAGAAAAAAGTTTAAAATTCTTTAAAAAAAACTGTCGAATCTTGACTGAGACTATGTATGTATATATATATATATATATATATATATATATATATATATATATATATATATATATATATATATATATATATATATATATATATATATATATATATATATATATATATATATATATATATATATATATATATATATATATATATATATATATATATATATATATATATATATATATATATATATATATATATGTATATATATATATATATATATATATATATGTATATATATATATATATATATATATATATATATATATATATATATATATATATATATATATATATATATATATATATATATATATATATATATTTTATGCTGACGGTAACTTTAAAACACGATTAGCGAATATGAAGTGGAGTTGAAAATAACACAATGTAATAGTACATAATGGTAAATTAATTGTCACGGCAGTGATTCGCGTGGTGTTAAACTTGCATATCGAGGGGGTGGCTTGCTTGGGTGAGAAAGCCACTGATTGCTAACATACAAACTCCCCAGTGTGAGGCTCGTTAACTGGGAAATACAAGCCATTCATTCCGAAATCAAGCAGGCGTGTAGCCCCGTAAGATATATCCAACTCGGGTTTATCTATAGCAGCTGCGACACGGTTGGTGTACAGGTAATGGCTCACCTTATGGCCTATCAGCTGTGAGGTGAGAGAAGCTGAAACATGGGCAACATCTTGATTTTCTCAACCTGTTGCTCGGTATGTGTGCCTTGTCTTCCAAGATACAATCATTCAATCGTCTATCCCAGGGGTCTCCAAACTACGGCCCACTCGATGTCCTCTCATCCGGCCCGCGGAGATCTTTTTGTGCACGGAAAAACAGTTTGTTGATGATGGCTGAGGAACTTTGCCCAGAAAAATCAAAGACATGCCTGGAAGAAACAGGCCCACGAACTGAAATTTGATATTTAATGCGGCCCTCGGACTGAAAAGTTTGGAGACCCCTGGTCTATGCGAATATTAATTCATTTATTTATTTACGTCTATCTCTACTTAAAACTTACTTTGAAAATCATTTTTCTTTACAATAATTTAACATTTTTAAAAAGTTATTCTGATGAAAATAATATACTGTCAGGCATTAAATGCATCACAACTTCTTGGACAATTTACTGAAGTTAACCACAATATACCACATGGAGTATTTTATTTTTTCTATTTTTTTTTTTAAAATTGCTTTTTAGCAACAATTGCCGCATCTTCAGCTTTAACAACAGAAGTGGTCACAACAGAAGTTTCAATAAGTAGCTCTACATTTGCACTCGCAACAACTACCATGTATCAAACAAGCACGGACTCTGAAACCTCAGTGCCTTCTTTGACTATGCAAGCAACATTAAAAACTTCCACATTCAGTACGCCAGACTCATCTATGCAAATATCAGACGTTTATACATCCCAAGCAACTGAATCACCTGTACTAACAGCAGAAATGTACACATCTAGTACAACTGAATTACCTGTCTCAACACCGGAACTGTATACATCAAGCACACTTGAATCAACAATGGAAACAACAGAAGTTTACACAAACGCTCCAACTGAATCAACTGTGCCAACAACAGAAGTGTACGCATACACTGCATCTGAATCACCTGCGCCAACAACTGAAGTTCCCACATCCACTACACCTGAATCAACTGTGCAAACAACAGAAGTTCCCACATCCGTTACACCTGAATCAACTGCGCCTACAAAAGAAGTGTACACATCCAGTACACCTGAATCAAATGTGCCAACAACAGAAGTTTACACATTCACTACACCTGAATCAACTGCGCCAACAACAGAAGTGTACAGATCCAGTACACCTGAATCAACTGTGCCAACAACAGAAGTTCCAACATCCGTTACACCTGAATCACCTTTGCCAACAACAGAAGCGTACACAACCAGTACACCTGAATCACCTTTGACAACAACAGAAGTTCCAACATCCGTTACACCTGAATCACCTATGCCAACAACAGAAGCGTACACATCCAGTACACCTGAATCATCGGTGCCAACAACAGAAGCGTACACATCCAGTACACCTGAATCAACTGTGCCAACAACAGAAGTATCCAAATCCAGTACACCTGACTCACGTATCTCAACAAAAGAAGTTCCTACATCCAGTACACCTGAATCAACTGCGCCAACATCTGGAGTTGCCACATCAACTACACCTGAAACAACCGTGCCAAAAACAGAAGTATCCAAATCCATTACACCTGAATCAACTGCGCCAACAACAGAAGTGTACAGATCCAGTACACCTGAATCAACTGTGCCAACAACAGAAGTTCCAACATCCGTTACACCTGAATCATCTATGCCAACAACAGAAGCGTACACATCCAGTACACCTGAATCACCTATAACAACAACAGAAGCGTACACATCCAGTACACCTGAATCAACTGTGCCAACAACAGAAGCGTACACAACCAGTACACCTGAATCACCTTTGACAACAACAGAAGTTCCAACATCCGTTACACCTGAATCACCTATGCCAACAACAGAAGCGTACACATCCAGTACACCTGAATCACCTGTGTCAACAACAGAAGCGTACACATCCAGTACACCTGAATCACCTATAACAATAACAGAAGCGTACACATCCAGTACACCTGAATCACCTGTCCCAACAACAGAAGCGTACACATCCAGCACACCTGAATCACATGTGACAACAACAGAAGTTCCAACATCCGTTACACCTGAATCACCTATGCCAACAACAGAAGCGTACACATCCAGAACACCTGAATCACCTATAACAATAACAGAAGCGTACACATCCAGTACACCTGAATCACCTGTCCCAACAACAGAAGTGTACAGATCCAGTACACCTGAATCACATGTGACAACAACAGAAGTTCCAACATCCGTTACACCTGAATCACCTATGCCAACAACAGAAGCGTACACAACCAGTACACCTGAATCACCTTTGACAACAACAGAAGTTCCAACATTCGTTACACCTGAATCACCTATGCCAACAACAGAAGTATCCAAATCAAGTTCACCTGAATCAACTGCCCCAGCAGATGTGTACACATCCACTACACCTGAATCAACTGTGCCAACCACAGACGTTCCCACATCCAGTACATCTGAATACACTGTGCCAGCAACAGAAGTGTACACATACACTACACCTGAATCAACTGTGCCAACCACAGAAGTTCCAACATCCAGTACACCTGAATTCACTGTGCCAGCAACAGAAGTGTACACATCCACTACAACTGACTCAATTTCGCCAACAACAAAAGTTCCCACACCCAGTACACCTGAATCAACTGCCCCAACAACAGAAGTGTACACATCCAGTACACCTGAATCAACTGCGCCAACAACAGAAGTGTACACATACTTTACATCTGAATCAACTGTGTCAACAACAAAAGTTCCCACATCCAGTACACCTGAATCAACTGTGCCAACAACAAAAGTTCACACATCTCAAACTACAGAGTTGACTAGGCCAACACTTTCAGAAGAGCCAACAACTATTTCTACACAATTTTCAGGTAATTTGGCTTTTTCCATTAGTTTAAATTTTAATACAAAATTTTATTGAAAACTATACTAGCATATCTGATTTTGTTTACTAACTCACGACAACAGGCTCATCTAAGTTATTTTTTCTACAATTTTTTTTATCTCTTGTTTTTTGTAAGCTCTAATATTTTCTAAACCATCATTTAATATAATTTACTTCAATTTACTTCATAATATTTCTTTATAGATATCACAAAATGAAGACGACGCTTAGGATATACTTTTTAAAAATATCCCGTAGGAATGTTTATTCCATTACGTATTTTAACAAAGAAATTCTGAAGATTAAATGTATAGTACGTATTATAAATAAAATATACAGTGGCTTAGGAAGGGGGAGAGGCTATGGTGGTTACAGCCTCCACCCCCCCCCCCCACCCTCCATTGACACCTCTTTAAAAAAAAGTTGTCTTACTATCACTGTCAATTATTTAAACATATTTCTCTATTAGAATGTATGTATTATTGTATATGTACGTTTGCAACAGTTATCTTAAAACTGACGCTATGTTCACACTGATTTGGTTAATCCCCCCTCCCTTCCCACCTCTCCACCAGAACGAGACAGGCCGTAATTGTGCAGAGCGACATTAATATCACATCCAGGTGTACTCTGGGTAAGATATTAGACCCAAGTGACCGAACAGTGGTGTATGAAGTTCACCTCTGGATAGGCCTACGCCTGTAATTCCAAATTTTGGTATTTCGAGTTTGAATTTTCTTACTTTAATAGGTTCGGGAAATAAGGAGCGCAACACTGGTCGTTGAGCCGCTCATCGATGGTGTCGGTATAGAATTAGGCTTTGGATTTTTTCTCACTCGATTCTGTTGTTGAGACTCTAATTATAGTTACAAACTGTACATACTATCTAACGGAATAAAACCATTTCGATTATTCTCAATTAACAAAATTGTAGCGAGGCTCAAAGACTTTTGAGAAAAAAAGCATGGGTGAAATTCTCCACTTTGAGACATTTTTTACTGCGATTCATCATGCTTTTTACATATGTTTTGTTCCAGCCTGTAATGCTACTCACTATGGTCTGGACTGTGCCAACTCATGCAGCTGTAACATAAACAATACAGTTGATTGCAATGACACCACAGGAGAATGTTTGTGTGCAGCTGGTTGGAATGGCAATACTTGTGATGAAGATGTCAATGAGTGCCTTAATGCCAGCTACTGTCCTGGTTACATGGAAGTTTGCTTTAATTTGGTGGGGTCAGCAGAATGCAGGTGTGAGATTGGCTATCAGAGATCAGGACTGAATCACAAGTGCCAAGGTAATTTATGAATAATTTAGCAGTAAATATTTAGATTAGATTTTTACGTCATTTGTTTGCTTACAATACTAAAATTTATTATTTTACAAGAGATATTTTCACTGATTTTTTTAAAATGTACTATGTTCTTTATTTTCAAAAAGCTTGTAACAACACATACTATGGCTATGAATGCTCAAACCCCTGTACATGCATCATGGCAAACACAGAAAATTGTAATGATACAACTGGAAACTGTTCTTGTCATCATGGTTGGACAGGCTACAACTGTGAAGCTGATATTGATGAATGTGAAAATGAGACCTTTTGTTCTGACATCCATTCTAGCTGCTTTAATTTGAATGGATCTGCAGAATGTAGATGTAACATTGGATTTGAAATTGTTTCAACTAATGAAAAATGTCTAGGTATAGTTTACTGCAATAGGATTTTTTTTTTAAATCAATATCTTCTAGTCCTGTTAATATCCGAAAAAAAAAACAATACATCTCAGTGGCGGAACTAGAAAAAAAGGGCCACCCCGCAAAGACATTTTTTGGGCCCCATATATATATATATATATATATATATATATATATATATATATATATATATATATATATATATATATATATATATATATAGGTATATATATATATATATATATATATATATATATATATATATATATATATATATATATATATATATATATATATATATATATATATATATATATATAAACAAAATACCAACATAGAATACTCTTTTCGGGCTTGTTCGAGTTAAAAGAAAATTAATAATATTTAGTTTTTATTAAAAATTAAAATCTAGTTACAACAACACGTCATTTGTGTGAGTGTTATTCGGCTTTTCTTTATTTTATTTATTTATTTATTTTTTTTTTTTTGTATACTTTTATTTTCCAATTTAATACAAATACATTAACATTCTTCGAAGTTTCCAACTAGAAAAAATCTCAGCTATAATAAACGTTTGCTAAATTGCTGCCTGAAAGCAAGTCGGTCAAAAGAATATGAAACATGAAAACTTTGTACCTGTAATGGTTTCTCGCGTTATGTTTATTATTATGTTTTTTTTTATTTATATTATTAATCTTAAATACATTTCCTTTTCATGCTTTGTCATTCCTTATTATGTATTTTTTTTAAATAATAATTCAGAGAAGTTGCTTTTAAATTTGTTAAGAGCAGATCTATTAAAAGGTGCTTAAGAGCACACATATTTGACTATTTAAAAAGGGGATATAAGTCATAGAAGTGGTTTGAACGTTTGCGTATCTTTCACGCGATGGATTTATTTTCAAAATAATTTTGCCGTCAACATCGTGTGTTTGATTGTAGGAGAAAGAGGACTCGGGATGGTGGCTATAAAATAAAGATAATCAACAGCAGCTACGGTATTCTTTTTACCAAACAACAATCAAGTCAAAAATGAAAGAAAATAATTATTTTTCAACTGTAAAAGAAAATTGATTATGGTCGGCAATGGGCCCCTAAATGGCGTGGGCCCCCCCCGCATTGCGGGGTCTGGCGGCACTGTAGTTCCGCCCCTGATACATCTTCACTCTATATGGGGCTAATTTAAAAGGAAATATTTTAAGTTGGTTGTTATGTTTTCTTAAAGACGCCTATTTTTCAGCATGTAATGCTACCCACTATGGTCTGAACTGTGCCAACACATGCAGCTGTAACCTAAACAATACAGTTGATTGCAATGACACCACAGGAGAATGTTTGTGTGCAGCTGGTTGGAATGGCACCACTTGTGATGAAGATGTCAATGAGTGCCTTAATGCCAGCTACTGTCCTGGTTACATGGAAGTTTGCTTTAATATGAATGGATCAGCAGAATGCAGGTGTGAGATTGGCTATCTGAGATCAGGACTGAATCACAAGTGCCAAGGTAATTTATTGAATAATTTACCAGTAAATATTTTGCTTAGATTTTTAAGTCATTTGTTTGCTTACGATACTAAAATGTATTATTTTACAAAAGATATTTTCACTCATAATGGTGGTTGAATGTGTACTTTATTCATTTAACAATGTTTTTAACAAATTTCTTATTGTTAAATTTAATTTTTGATTTACCAGATGTGTGAATATTATTTCATGGATTTTGATCGTTTTAAAAAACAAAATAATGTGTTTGAAGTTAACCATTTTTTTTTAAACATATCTTTGTCATATAATGTTTTTTTTAAAGAAATTTTGAAATGTTTGATATAAATCATTTATTTTAGATATTTGCAGGAAAAAATATATGTCAAAATGTACGTTATAAAGATCTTTAATTTTAAAATATATTGCTACTGTATTCCTATTTTCTTACAGCTTGTAATAACACTTTCTTCGGTTATGAGTGCTCAAATCCTTGCTCATGTGTTATGGAGAATACAGTAGATTGCCTGGACAGTACAGGAGAATGCTCTTGTTTCTTTGGGTGGAAAGGAATCAACTGTGAATCTGATATTGATGAGTGTGAACAGACTGACTTTTGTTCTCACATCCATGCTAGCTGCTTTAATTTAAATGGATCTGCAGAATGTAGGTGTGATATTGGATATGAGAATTCTACCACTGATGAAAGCTGCCAAGGTAATTGATTTTTATGAAATTCCATGCAGAAAAACATACTCATTTATGAGATAAAAATGTGTTGTCTAATTTCTGCCATCTTGAAATGAGTGCTTATATTTTAAAACTCACACTTTTTAAACCACAAATTGGTTTATGAAATGAATGCTTTTTTCTTTTCAACTAAAACTAGTCATCCTTTTTTACATGTGTTTTATCCCAGCATGTAATGCTACCCACTATGGTCTGAACTGTGCCAACACATGCAGCTGTAACCTAAACAACACAGTTGATTGCAATGACACCACAGGAGAATGTTTGTGTGCAGCTGGTTGGAATGGCACCACTTGTGATGAAGATGTCAATGAGTGCCTTAATGCCAGCTACTGTCCTGGTTACATGGAAGTTTGCTTTAATATGAATGGATCAGCAGAATGCAGGTGTGAGATTGGCTATCTGAGATCAGGACTGAATCACAAGTGCCAAGGTAATTTATTGAATAATTTAGCAGTAAATATTTTGCTTAGATTTTTAAGTCATTTGTTTGCTTACGATACTAAAATGTATTATTTTACAAAAGATATTTTCACTCATAATGGTGGTTGAATGTGTACTTTATTCATTTAACAATGTTTTTAACAAATTTCTTATTGTTAAATTTAATTTTTGATTTACCAGATGTGTGAATATTATTTCATGGATTTTGATCGTTTTAAAAAACAAAATAATGTGTTTGAAGTTAACCATTTTTTTAAACATATCTTTGTCATATAATGTTTTTTTAAAGAAATTTTGAAATGTTTGATATAAATCATTTATTTTAGATATTTGCAGGAAAAAATATATGTCAAAATGTACGTTATAATGATCTTTAATTTTAAAATATATTGCTACTGTATTCCTATTTTCTTACAGCTTGTAATAACACTTTCTTTGGTTATGAGTGCTCAAATCCTTGCTCATGTGTTATGGAGAATACAGTAGATTGCCTGGACAGTACAGGAGAATGCTCTTGTTTCTTTGGGTGGAAAGGCATCAACTGTGAAACTGATATTGATGAGTGTGAACAGACTGACTTTTGTTCTCACATCCATGCTAGCTGCTTTAATTTAAATGGATCTGCAGAATGTAGGTGTGATATTGGATATGAGAATTCTACCACTGATGAAAGCTGCCAAGGTAATTGATTTTTATGAAATTCCATGCAGAAAAACATACTCATTTATGAGATAAAAATGTGTTGTCTAATTTCTGCCATCTTGAAATGAGTGCTTATATTTTAAAACTCACACACTTTTTAAACCACAAATTGGTTTATGAAATGAATGCTTTTTTCTTTTCAACTAAAACTAGTCATCCTTTTTTACATGTGTTTTATCCCAGCATGTAATGCTACCCACTATGGTCTGAACTGTGCCAACACATGCAGCTGTAACCTAAACAACACAGTTGATTGCAATGACACCACAGGAGAATGTTTGTGTGCAGCTGGTTGGAATGGCACCACTTGTGATGAAGATGTCAATGAGTGCCTTAATGCCAGCTACTGTCCTGGTTACATGGAAGTTTGCTTTAATATGAATGGATCAGCAGAATGCAGGTGTGAGATTGGCTATCTGAGATCAGGACTGAATCACAAGTGCCAAGGTAATTTATTGAATAATTTAGCAGTAAATATTTTGCTTAGATTTTTAAGTCATTTGTTTGCTTACGATACTAAAATGTATTATTTTACAAAAGATATTTTCACTCATAATGGTGGTTGAATGTGTACTTTATTCATTTAACAATGTTTTTAACAAATTTCTTATTGTTAAATTTAATTTTTGATTTACCAGATGTGTGAATATTATTTCATGGATTTTGATCGTTTTAAAAAACAAAATAATGTGTTTGAAGTTAACCATTTTTTTAAACATATCTTTGTCATATAATGTTTTTTTTTTAAAGAAATTTTGAAATGTTTGATATAAATCATTTATTTTAGATATTTGCAGGAAAAAATATATGTCAAAATGTACGTTATAAAGATCTTTAATTTTAAAATATATTGCTACTGTATTCCTATTTTCTTACAGTTTGTAATAACACTTTCTTCGGTTATGAGTGCTCAAATCCTTGCTCATGTGTTATGGAGAATACAGTAGATTGCCTGGACAGTACAGGAGAATGCTCTTGTTTCTTTGGGTGGAAAGGAATCAACTGTGAATCTGATATTGATGAGTGTGAACAGACTGACTTTTGTTCTCACATCCATGCTAGCTGCTTTAATTTAAATGGATCTGCAGAATGTAGGTGTGATATTGGATATGAGAATTCTACCACTGATGAAAGCTGCCAAGGTAATTGATTTTTATGAAATTCCATGCAGAAAAACATACTTATTTATGAGATAAAAATTTGTTGTATAATTCTGCCATCTTGAAATGAGTGCTTATATTTTAAAACTCACACACTTTTTAAACCATAAATTGGTTTATGAAATGAATGCTTTTTTCTTTTCAACTAAAACTAGTCATCCTTTTTTTACATGTGTTTTATCCCAGCATGTAATGCTACCCACTATGGTCTGAACTGTGCCAACACATGCAGCTGTAATCTCAACAACACAGAAGATTGCAATGACACCACTGGAGAATGCACATGTGCTAGTGGCTGGAATGGCACTATTTGTGATGAAGATGTGGATGAATGTCTGAATATCAGCTACTGTCTTGAAGCGAATGAAATATGTTTTAACTCAAATGGATCTGCTGAATGTCTATGTGACATTGGGTTTCAAAGATCATTATTTAACTACAGTTGTGAAGGTAATGCTTTATAGTTGTTTTGACTTTGTTTTAGTTGTTTTGCACTAATTTATAAATAATATATTAACATATGACTATAGAGTTATTTCATTGAAATATAAGTTGTTAGGTTAAATATTAATTTTTTTAACATGCAGTTTTGTAAAAAGATGATTTTAAAATTACTCTAATAGCATGCAATGAAACAAATTATGGATGGAACTGTGCTGAACCTTGTGACTGCTTCATGGAAAACACAGAAGACTGTGACAATGTAAATGGAGCTTGTTTTTGTGTTGAAGGGTGGAATGGCACTTTTTGCAATGAGGACATAGATGAGTGTATCAATGCTAACTACTGTCTAGGTTTACATGAAATTTGTCACAACCTAAATGGTTCAGCTGAATGCCTATGCAATGTTGGTTTTGAAAGATGGTCATCAAATAACACATGCACAGGTAATACTACAAAGTATTTATAACTGTATTCTGCAACACATGAATAACTGTTAAGGTAAAATTACAAAGGTAACATCACAAAGTATATAGAATTTTTCATTCTACTAAAATGATAATAATTTACGGTAAAATTACGAAGTCTTTTGAATTTTTTAGTGTACAACCACACTGCAAGGCTGTTAAACCTATACCAAATCACTTCTATTTCAAATTGTTGTATACAAGTTTTCTACTTGTTTACACATTCTGAAATACTTGTACTTTATTTGCCATTTTCATTATTAGTAACATAATCAAACATGCCCGGCTGTGTGGGGTAATGAAGTAGAGTTCACCTCTTTCTGAGACATCAGCCGGTGGAGGGTTAGTGGTGTCATTACTAGGCCCACCAACATTACTGTCCCTAACATGATTCAGGTACCCATCAGAGATGGGAGAACTTAAGGAATCATACCAACTCCAGTTCATGGAATGTAGGCCTACCATCTGACTCTGCTGTCCTGTATCATAACTAATATTTTCTTTACCTGAATTATTTTGTAAGTGATATAAATGTTTTGATAAAAATAAAATTATTTTTCAGCATGTACTGAGACCCACTATGGCCTTAATTGTGAAAACACATGCAGCTGCGACCTAGTCAACACAGCAGATTGCAATGATGTGACAGGAAATTGTTCATGTAGATCTGGATGGGAAGGTGTCAACTGTGAGGAAGACATCAATGAGTGTTTAAACTTGAGCTACTGTACAGGACCACATGAAACTTGTCGTAATTTGAATGGTTCAGCTGAATGTCCATGTGTGATTGGGTTTGAAAAAGTTAATAATATTTGTCAAGGTAATTTAAACTGTACACAAAGCTGTTACATAATGTATTTTTTTATTGTTATATGTTGAATGATAAATGATAGATTATAAAAATGGCACATGCAGATTGAATACAAACAGTATTATTTATTTGACCATTCTGGTTGGTGTTCAGATGAGAATTTTTCACTTTATACTCACTGTTCTCTCTGTTCTACAAATAACAAACAATAACAGCCTACAGGGGATGTAACTTTAATAATACTAGCGTTCATGACTGACATAGTTATTTCCCTTGCAGATTTTGACGTTATACATAATTTGAATCAAATTAGGAAAATCATAACCGTCAGCTTTTTTAACACAATTTTTTTAAATATGAAAAAGATTTAAATTTATTTCGATCATCGAATCATAGTTTTTAATAGCATATAACGTTCTACTCACAAAACCTGCTATGGCAATTGCTTTAAAAAATACTCATTGTTGTAGGCTGGTTTATAAAGAGTAAACTACAGTATCATACTAATTTTATCTTATAAAAGATATATTTTGAATATAATCTTTTAACTGCAAAATAATTTCTGAAATCCTAAAATTATTCAACATGAAAAAATCTTTTAAAATATTTTTGAAAAATCTAAATTGACCCTGCATTTTTTTCTAAATAACTCGTATATTATAATCATTTTTAAAAACTTCTTTAGAGCAATTAACATAGTTTTTAAATATAAATATGTACTGATGTTTTTCCATTAATATTGTAGCTTCCTTTGGCTGATTGTGTTATTATAATTAATTAGAAGTTTTATAAGTTTTCCTCCTTTAATATTTTATTTATTCAAAGAGATTAGAATTGTATTTAACACTGAATAAAAATAATTGTAGTTATTTTATAATAGGAATTTAATTACTTCTTTTTTCAATATTCCAGCTTGTAATGAAACACATTATGGCTTTAATTGTGCACAACAATGTGTTTGTAATATGATGAACACATACGACTGTGATGATAAAACAGGACAATGTGCATGTGTCAGTGGATGGACTGGCACTAACTGTGATGAAGATGTAAATGAATGTCTGGACATCAGCCTCTGTGCCCAAATACATGAAGTTTGCTTTAACCAAAATGGGTCATATGAGTGCAGGTGTGCTGATGGTTTTGAGAGATCAGTTTTTGATTACCACTGTCAAGGTAAAATACATGTATCACAATTCATAAGAAAAATATTTGGGGAATTTTTTATACCAGTGTCCGTTAATAGGACCTTCTTAAAAGAAGGGGTGTAATGATACTGTTAATTAACTAAAATACACACTTGGCTTGCATATGTCAATGCTAACCCTATCCCTAACCCCAGCCCTATTCCTACCATAATCCTAACCCTATTTTTTAACCATAAAACTAGTCAAGTTTACAATAATACTAACAACCTAACACACCTATTTTTGGATGGGTCTATTAGCAGACATGGATATCTTCAATCATTCAAATATTCATTCATAAATCATTATTTCGAGGGATCAGTTTTTGTCACTACTGTCAAGGTGTCACAATTCATAAGAAAATTATTCAAATATCAATCATTTTTTGTTGTTGTCGTATTGAAGTATTTTTTCATAATTTTATTAAAATACTATTCAATTGTTTTTTGTTTTCTTACTTTTAGTTTGCAATGGAACAGCATATGGTTATAACTGCTCACATGCATGCAGCTGTGTAGTAGACCATATATTGAACTGTAATGGAAGCACTGGAGAATGTGTTTGTAAATCTGGATGGAATGGTACAGACTGTGAACTGGATATTGATGAGTGTAAAATTCCTAACTACTGTACCCAATTTCATGAGAGTTGTTTTAATTTGAATGGTTCAGCTGAATGTAGATGTGATGTTGGATATTACAGATTTTCAGACAGCTCTTGCAGAGGTACATATTGTTTTTTAAATAATCGGTTGTTTTAAATTTAATTTTATATACTTTATTATCGTTGCACACATTTTAATTTTTTTTTAAATAGCTTGAAAGCACTTTATAATTAATCAAATTAAAAATTGGAACGTCAAACACATAATTCCCAGATGTTGTAAGAATTATTTGAGTTCACTCACGTTTTCTGTTAGCCTACTTTAGGTATAAGAATTTTTGGAAAATCATGCATTTTTACAATTCACCGATTCAATGGCCAAATGCAGTTATACTGCCTCATAGGATATAATTGGAAACAGTATAAAAATGTGTATAATTATAATTTAAAACATTCAATATATTTTCTTACAGAGTGTGATGCAGCACATTATGGATTCAACTGTAACCTATTGTGTAACTGCAATATGGACAACACTTTAGTTTGTGATAAAACCTCAGGAAACTGCAGTTGTAAAACTGGCTGGAATGGCACTCTTTGTGATGTAGATATTGATGAGTGCTTAAATACTAGTTTGTGTGTTGACTTACATGAACAGTGCTACAATTATGCTGGATCATTTGAATGTGGATGTGAAGCTGGCTATCATAAAGTTAATGGAACTTGCAAAGGTTGTGAATACTTAAATTGAAATATTTTTGTTACTGGTATTATTTAAGTAGGACTTACTTTCACCATCACCACCCACATGCAATAATGCAAGTTTTTTTCATATTCACATAACTCTTTTGTTACAGATGTGTAAGTAAGATAATTAATAAGAAGTTCAGACTAGCACCAATAGTAATCAAAATATGTACAGTGACATAAATAAAGGATAAGAAAGGCAAAGCAAAATGTTAATTTAATAACATTTCTCAGTTACAAATTATAGATAATTAATTAGAAGTACAGACTAGCTGCAATAGTAATCAAAATATCTCTAGTGACTTATATCAAGAGATTCAAAGGAAAAAGTTAATTTAATAACATTTCTGAGTAATAAATAATTAAGGGGTCGACGTGGTCGAGTAAAGCTCATGGTTGCTAAACCGAAAAGTCTCAAGTTCGAACCTTCGGGCAGATGAGGCTCGTTAGCTGGGGACAGCCACTCCTCTAGGAGAGACAACTCCAAAATTAAACAACTGCTGCCTTGTAGTTTGTTCTTGGTTGGACAAAGGCTATGGAAGCAAATCCAAAAAGAAAAGCAGGCTGAAATCGGAGTCAATGGCCTCAATGGCACATAACCAGTTGACACGTAACGCTTAATTGTGTTGAAGGTGTGGTTGAGTCAGCAAAAAGCTGATGGTTGATAAATTCGAACAAAGTGCTCGAGTTCAAACCCACGGGCAGATAAATCTCGATCCCCTTCAACACTAATAATTAAGAACGAAGAAGAAAAGAAGAAGATAAATAATAAATATGTTTTTATTTCCAAAATTACTTACTTAAATAAACATTAGTTGAAAAATTGTTATACTAATCATTGCTTTAATTCACTGCTTTACAACAGAATGTAATTCAACAACCTATGGCCCAAACTGCAAAAACAAATGTACTTGTGTTTTCAACAACACAGCTGATTGTAATGATACATCTGGAGCTTGCTTTTGTAAAAGTGGCTGGAATGGTAAAAACTGTGAATTAGATATAAATGAATGTCTAAATAAAAGCTACTGTCTTGGTTTACATGAAGAATGTAACAACTTGCCTGGCACAGCTGAATGTCGATGTGAACTGGGATTTGAGAACAAAACAGGGGTTTGTCAAGGTAAATCAATTTTTATGTGAATGGTAGTAAGAGAAATATTAAAATTTAAAGTGTTCTTAACATTTCAGTTAATGAAACTTTTATATATGAAGCTGATTTTAATTTACCAGCTTTTAAACATATATTCACTTTTTTATTCATAACAAGAATAAATGCTTAAACAATGTTAATTAAGAATTACAAGCCTACTTTAAGTACAACTACAACATTTAAAATTGGTTAAACATAGATCTACTATAATAACTTTTATAGCTTTTGCTTAGTAGACTTTGTTAGTAATAAGAATAATGTATTAATATATATGCAAAACTAGGTATCAGTATTTCATTTTTTTATTTTTTTTACTATCTAACTTTAACATTCATAAGATATGTGTCTCTTAAATGCAGTTAATTTTTTTTTAAATTGTTTTTTCAGCATGCAACTCAACATTCTATGGCTTTTACTGTGGGAACAAGTGTTCTTGTGTCATGAACAACACAATAGACTGCAATGACAAAACAGGGTCATGTCTGTGTGCATCAGGATGGACTGGGACAAAATGTGATACAGATATCAATGAATGCTTAAATACCAGCTACTGCTCAGGTCAATATGAACGATGCATCAATCTTAATGGATCGGCTGAGTGTGGATGTGTAACAGGGTATGAAAAAAAGAATGGAACATGTCAAGGTATTTGAAAACACATTGAATTCATTATTTTTTTTTTAAAAAAGATTAAATTATTAAAATATTGTTAAAAGAATTTTTCATATTATTGTTTTTTATTTCCTAAAACGAAACTATTTTTCCTTAAGTAGGGAAAAAAGTTCCCTTTCAAAAATTAGATTAAAATATGTTTTTAGGTATTAAGAACGGGCTTGACCTAAATAAAGTAATGGTGAAAATTATACCTAAATAAATAAATTTTAATTAGTCAATATATCCTCAGCATGCAACGAAACACATTTTGGACTAAACTGCATCAACCAATGCTTTTGTAACATGAGCAAAACAATAGACTGTGACAATGTAAATGGGTCTTGCTCATGTATAGCTGGATGGAGTGGTGCATCCTGCAATCAAAGTAAATTTTTCAAATTTTCTTAATTTTAATAGTATAGGTTTATAATTTTATATATCAATATATTGGTAAAGTCTGATAAAACTATTTATTATTATTTCTTCAAATTTTTTTCATTAATGTAATGAAAGTTTTTTTTATTATCCATATTTAACACGTTTTTATTAACTCAGCTTCGCGTGTGTTTGTTGTTAAAATTGACATCGAAAATTAGCCCACTTCTGATTGTTCTATAGTTCTGAAATTTGGCATGCAGGTTACTTTCGCCTAACAATTTCAGATGCAATCATAAAAACTAGCAATTAGAGACCGTAATTAGCTTAATTTAATTACGCCCCAAGGACCATAAAATTGAGGACATGATTTCTAAAGATACCGACAAGACTGGAGGCCTATAGACACAGTTACTTCGGCCCCAATCGATGTGAGCGCGCTGGCCGTGATCGTATAGTGGTTAGTACTTCGCGTTGTGGCCGCGACAACCCAGGTTCGAATCCTGGTCGCTCAAGATTTTTTTAGTCCGTGTATTTATAAACACTTTTTTAAAAACCACGTTTTTCATGTGTAGCAACGGACTAAAAAGGAGAAAATAAAATACTTAAAAAAAAACTTTTTAAAAAACCACGTTTTTCTTGTGGACTAAAAAGTAGAAAATAACTATTTACATACATTTGATGACAAAAAACGTGGGTCGGGCAGATGGGTCGGGAAATTTGATGGTGAACGTACCCACGTTTTTTGTCATCAAATGTATGTAAATAGTTATTTTCTACTTTTTAGTCCACAAGAAAAACGTGGTTTTTTAAAAAGTTTTTTTTAAAGTATTTTTTTAATACTGTATGTTATTAATATTATATAATTCATAATTTTTAATTTAGGTACATAGTTTTAATATCAGAATGCTTTGTTTAATAATATGTCATTTATATTGTTTTTGCAGCTTGTAGTGAAACTATGTATGGCCCAAACTGCAAAAACAAATGCACTTGTGTTTTCAACAACACAGCTGATTGTAATGATACATCTGGAGCTTGTTTATGTAAAGGTGGCTGGAATGGTACAAACTGTGAATTAGATATAAATGAATGTCTAAATAAAAGCTACTGTGTTGGTGTACATGAAGAATGTCACAACTTGCCTGGCTCAGCTGAATGTCGATGTGAACTAGGATTTGATAACAGAACTGGTGTTTGTCAAGGTAACTTATTTCTTATTATAGAAGTTTATAAAAGTGATATTTTTCATTGCTATATTTATTACAATATTTTCTTTTTAAGAAACTATTTTTTTTACATGCATAACAATTTTATCTAAAATTGTTCGACTTATCAATTTAAAAAAAAATGTATCTATTGACAGTTTTAATATTAGTGACGTAGCTCAAATAATATAATATTAAAAAACTTTCTAAATAATCTTTCATAGGTTTTCCACAAAAATCAATTATTTTAGATCTATATCTCATCTACGTAAAGTGTAACTTGTTTCTTTATAATAGCATGTAACACAACATTCTATGGCTTCTACTGTGGGAACAAGTGTTCTTGTGTCATGAACAACACAATAGACTGCAATGACACAACAGGGTCATGTCTGTGTGCATCAGGATGGACTGGGACAAAATGTGATACAGATATCAATGAATGCTTGAATACCAGCTACTGTGTCGGTTTACATGAAAAATGTAACAATTTAAATGGGTCTGCTGAGTGCAAATGTGTGCCTGGCTATGAAAAAACGAATGTAGCTTGTCAAGGTAAACTAAAATTAGCTAATATTTTTAGATCACATATATTCTGTTATGTAAGCTCAATTGTAGAAAATAAATGATAATCTGATGAATTTATGTAAATACATTTACTACTCAGCTTTGAAAATGTAATTATATATGCATTCTTATTGGTTTTTTAATAGATTTAATAAAATAATTTTATTTAATTAACAATTATTTTTATTCAATTACCTGTATGTTTTAAACAACCTATTTATGTTTATTATGGTACATATTTAATCTTGTATTTAGTAAATTTTTTATCAGATAGAAAAGACTAAAAAAAATTTGATATAATATGCTTTAAAAAAATTAAATTAAGAAAAAAGAAGTATGTCTTTTCTATTCTCCAAAAGTATGCAACAAAACACACTACGGCTTGGATTGTTCTTTGAAATGTGCCTGTGTCATGGAAAACACCAAATATTGTAATGGAACATCTGGTGCTTGTTTATGTTCTCCTGGATGGAATGGAACCAATTGTGAAAAAGATATAAATGAATGTGATAATATAAATTATTGCACTGAAGTACATGCAAGCTGTTTTAATTTAAATGGGTCTGCAGAATGTAGATGTGATAATGGTTATCAAAAGCTTTCCAGTGGAAAATGCCAAGGTAAAGTTGCACTCCTATGTTAAGAAGTATATTAATATATTAATAAGTAAATCACCCTTTCGAACCTTGTGGATCATGGGCAGAGTTAAGCAGAATTATCCTGTTTTAGTAATTATGGCATATTAAAGGATTGTATTAAGGGATTAGTTAACTAATTTGCATTTCAGTGAAATAAACATATAGACAAATTAATAATTCAATTTATAGAATTTAAAAAAATTATTTTTAGTAAAATGTAACATTTACTGCCCACATTTTAAACAATTTATTTACTAATATAAAATACTTTCCTTCCCCTAGCTTTATGTCCCAATTGTACAGAAGCAGAAGTTTGCTTTAATGAAACAGCTGGTAAATGGATCTGTAGGTAATATATGGATAACTTGTTTTGCTTAAATGAGTTAATACAAAAACAAATTTCTACAAAGTTATCAAGAATTTATTCTAACAGATTATAAAATTAAACCACAATGGCTATTAATTATTTGAAATAACAATATTTTATTTGTTTTTTTTTTTAGACTGAATGATTCACGTAAGTAAAACCTCTTAAATATAGTTTAAACATAACTAACAAAAATAAGGATGGTTTGTTAGTGAAACTTTTATCATCCATTCATAATGATAGTTGAATTATTCAATCATACAGAACATGTTTTCATTGGCAGATCATCCAATTTCGTTTTTTGGTATATATAATATGCTCTGAATATTACTGTTTCCTACAACGCTAAGCCAAAAGTCTTGAGTTTGAATCCAGGTTCAAGTTAGTGGAACAACCCTGAATCTACCCAGTTCTAATGGTTACTAAATCATATTAGGGATTGTGAAGGTGGCTGGGCATAGTGCTGACCACATTATTCCTTTATATGCCGAGGTCAAGAAACATTTATGAACTCCACTTCATCTGCCCAATGGATCGTTAGATCTAAAGAGGAATCTTTACTTATGCTCTGGATAGCTATGATAATGTGTCTAATTATTTCATTTTTATATGTTTCACCTGTTTATTACTTTAATAGGTATCTATCCCTATGGCCTTGTTCAAAATGACCAATCATTGCCAAAAAATAAAGAACTTGCATCAGCTAACTTGTACATAGAAGATTTCATCCCTTATCAGCTAAAGTTAATTAGCTCTGTTTCGGTAAGTAAGCTAATAACATTATTTATTATTATTATGATATTATTATAAACTGAAATATATTTTGCTCATTTTTATTTATTCACCTGAATCAATATTTTAACCCTTTTATACGCTATATATGTTTCTGTTAAAATATTTTTCTTAACAGATAACAGTTAATGGCCTTATAAGCTTTGAAGAAGAGTATTCCAGTTTTAATCCACAAAAGTTGCCAGTGTTAGACAAAAACTTAAATCAGCGCAGTCTGTTGGCTGTGTACTGGACTGATCTTGATGTTAACGATAATGATAATTGTGAAGTTTACTATCAGGTAATTTATATCATTCCAGTATTGAGAAATATACTTTTTATTTATTATTTTAATTCATAATGAAATTTATCTAATATCATCTAATCAAATTTTGATTGAAAATTTTTAAAAGTTTAATAATTGTAAACTTAACCATGATCACACAGTTAAATCTATTTTTTCAGATGTATGATTTGTATTCTAATAACACTTTGGGCACAGCTGTTTTTACCAAAGCCAATGCAGATGTTATGGCTCTCACAGAAAATAAAAGCTACAATGCTACAACAGTAATTGTGGTTACATGGGTTAATGTACCAGCACATGGAAGTGTGGATGAGGTATTTTGATTTTAGCACACATCTTCCTTTTATTTGTCTAAATGAATGTTCAATTTGTTTGGAAATTAGTATAATGTTTTGTATATATGTGGCTATATAGAATGCAATATGCGATTGGCACAAAAACAGTTATTATCTGCCATTGTAACTATTATAGACCAATTTCCTACACCCCATAAATTGTGTGTCATTGTTACATTTCCTTATACATTTGATTATAAGTAACAAAATCTGAAATCATATTGCAATTGGATTTTTTTCTTGTTTTTTCATAGCGTGTCTCATTCCAATGTGTCATAATATCAGATGGATATACAACATATGCCATATACATCTACATCCAAGGTGCTATGAAATTCAAACCCTTATCAGCCAGAAATGTTGAAGTTGGTTGGGCAAATTTTAGCTTTGATACCTCACTTACAAGTTACTACAGATTTGATACAGTTTTTGGCAACACTGGTATGTAGTCTATAGTACTAAAGACTCTCAAGATAAGTAGTAGTAAATGAGCTTTTTATTTTATAAAGCTGGTTTATATTCATTGCATGAAAACACTAAATTTTTAAGACTAGAATACAATATTGTTTTTGGATTAAATTTTTGTGTGTTTTGTTACAACAGGAAAACCTGGTCTTTGGATTTTTAAAGTTGGAGAAAATAAGAATTTTAAAATGATGTGCCGTACATGGTTTATCTCTAATCAAGGAGAACTGCCTAGTAAAAAATGTCTTTAAAACTATCATTTTACACATATATTTTTATATTTTAAGTACATGACATGATTGTCTGTTCAGTTAATTTAATTCAAATATATGATTCCAATGTTTTGAAATCATTACAAATGTTAAAAATCTTTATGAGCAGCTATTGATCTCTGGAACAAAAACCTACTGCCTGCTTGTCCTTGTAATGAAGTAGCTGCCAAAAGTAGTCCAATCTGGGTTCCTAGCAGTATATCCAATCCAGATAGAAACTGCTTTGATCTATTACCATTTTTTGGAGAATATGGAAGGGTATGGCTCTAATATTTGACCTCAATTACCAAAACAATTTTTTCTGTCTTCTTTACGAGCAGAAAAATATTTTCTTTGATTTTCTTCAGAGATGCTGCTACAAAGCTGATGAAAGTTCAAGTTTTTTAAATACAATCCCACAAGCCGGAAGTCTTCAGAGATATAATTCTTTCATTTACAAAGAACACGATCAGTTGGATGAAGACCCTAAAGACTGGTGCTGTACTAAGGCAAACTTGTGTGACCTGTACTATACTTTAAGACCAATTTTCTCATGCAATGGGAGTAACTGGGCTAGAGGTAAGATTATACAATTTGTAAAGAATTTTAAGCTTAACATTTATTGTACTTATTTTACGTTTTCTAATGTAAAAGTAAAATAAGTAAAAATATATTTAAACTGAATTAAAAATGTGTCAGTTATTGCATTCTATATTAACAATTTAATTATCTTAGCTCCAATATTCAGAAATATAGCTCCAATATTCAGAAATATTTTTATGTTTTTGTCTATAAAATAAATATTTAAAACAGGCAAATTGCTCTTGACTTGATACATATTGTTTTGCTTTATTTATTTAAACCACTACTACACTACTTATAACATAGTAAGGAAAATAATTACATGAAAACATAAATACATTTTATTACAAATACTTTTCACAGGTTTCTTGTTTGGAGACCCCCACATAATAACCATGGACCAAAGATCATTCATATTTAATGGACTGGGAGAATATCACTTAGTGAAAATAATAGGAACTACTAACCAGCATTTTAAATTGCAGGTAATAATAAGTATATTTTGCTTTTGTTTTAAAACTAGGAGCGTTAAAGAAACAATCTCTTTGAAAATTTTATAAAGCAAATTCTTAAGATTTATCAAAAAAATGATAAATATATTAACTAAATATTAATGTTTATGATAGAAATTAATATATCAATTAATATTTGAACAAGCAACTTATTTTATAATTCTTTAGGGTAGAACCTGTCGTGCATTAAATAGCAATGGCAATGAAACTCTAGCCACAGTCTGGTGTGCTCTATCAATGATGAGTGGTGATGAAAATTCACTGAGAGTAGAAATCAGCCCTTCAAGGAAAAGTAAGAATAAATGTTAAATATTCTTTAATCATTTTTTACATATAATAATGTAATACTAAAATCATGTTTTATTGAAATTAAAAAATATATAGTTTGATCTTTTTTATTTTTATTTAGTAGCTGTGTATAAAAAACAGTTTCAAATTTCAATTTGAGTATGCCTACTTCTAAAATTTAAGTCCTTAATAGATAGTTATGTATTTAATTTTAAAAATGATGTATGGAATACTGAATGCAGCTCTTTCTGTATATATCTAAATTCAATATTCAATTAGTAAAATTTAATAACCAGGCCCAATGACTACATGACAATTTGTTGCACGCAGTTTACATGTTTAATTAAATTACAAATTACTTACAAAAAACAAGGTAAATTACAAGATTAGGTAATGAATTTATCAATCTTAAAATTACTTTAAAACATTGATAATTAAATATGAGTACAAATTAATATAATAAATAAAAAATATATGTAAGCTCATATTCCTAAATGGTTCTATCCGCAGTGCTAAAACCAGATGTAAACATTTAGCAAAGCTAGTAAAAACTACACTAGGTTTCGCTGAGAATTCAGTATAATTAATAAGAGAAATAGTTGTTGGGGGCAGTGGCGGAACTAGAAAAAAAGGGCCACCCCGCAAAATATTTTTTGAGGCCCCCTATATATATATATATATATATATATATATATATATATATATATATATATATATATATATATATATATATATATATATATAAACAAAAATACGAACGTAGGATTCTCATTTCGGGCCTAATCTAGTTTTTAAAAAACACATAATACTTTTATTTTCAATTCTAACAAATTACAACAACATGTCATGTGTTTAAGTCAGGGGTCGGCAACCTTTTGAAGCGGAAGAGCCAAAAGTTACAATTTTTAAAATTTCCCTGGTTTTAAAGAGCCACTAACATTTTTTTATTTCAAATATTTTATTTTTTTATTAAGATTATTAGTATTTGTTCAAGGAGCTGGAGAGCCGCATCTTGATATCAAAAGAGCCGCATGCGGCTCGCGAGTCGCAGGTTGCCGACCCCTGGTTTAAGTGCATAAGTCTGTTTTGCAAATCTGTGTGTCACTTTTGATGTCGGCAGTATAACTTCCCATACGCAAGCCGGTCAAAAGTATATGAAACATGAAAGCTTTGTATGTGTAATGGTTTCTTGTGTTATGTTTATTTTTATGTTTTTTATTTAATTTATATTAATTTTTTTTTAAATTCCTTTTTATACTATGTCATTCTTTAGTATGTATTTTATAAAAAAATAATAATTAAGAGAAGTAATTGCTTTTTAATTTGCGTAGTACAAAACTATTAAAAGGAGTTTATGGGAACTTCTATTTGACTATTTAAAAAAGGGAAATAAGTCATGGAAGTGGTTTGAATGTAGCATTTTGTTTTTTACAAAACCATTATTAAAGTGCACGAAAACGTAATTTTGGAATACATAGTCATTGCTTTTTGGTCGGATTTTGGGCCCCTAAACGGCCTGGGCCCCCCGCATTGCGGGGTCTGGCGGTATGGTAGTTCCGCCCCTGGTTGGGGGCCATATATCTAGGATATCAGTATGATAGCTTTACTGTAACAGGGTGTCTCTTCCCACACTCCTCCCCCTAGGACAGATGAAAAGAAACACTGTTACTTTCTGTAAAGAGAATGCTTTAGTGAACGAATATTGTTAATTTAAATATGTAAATCTATACAATATTACTAATGTTATTATTTCTCTTTTTTCAGTTATGATAATATATGCTAATAAAAGAGATTATACAACAGATTTCTTAAGTAACCCTAATTTTTTTACAAATGATAATAAAATGATATTAAGAAAACAAAATGGGGCTTTAGAAGTGTCTCTTCCAGAAAGTAAGTTGCTTTTATTTTATCTAATTTACTTTTTGCTTCACCTGTAAGTTTGTATGTCTGTATTGTTGTGAGCATTAACTTATCTTTTATTGCTTTTATCTTGAATTGTTTTTGAAGAACTTGTTTTTACTGTGAGTTAAAGAGGTTAAGTATATTTTAACTAGTTACTATGAAAGATTCATAATCACACTGATACTACATTTTCCCCCTTGATACAGCATTATAAGGAATAGGAAATTGTTTACAGATTGTTAATTAATTTCAACATCTATTGCAGGTATAGGGATCACAGTTACAATGGTAAATGAATTACTAGAATTTTCCCTCACACTGGACAAAAAACATCAGAAAATGACCACTGGTCTTTTAGGCAATTTTAATGGAGACAGTACTGATGATTTTATTTGCCCAAATGGAACACAACTCTCTGATCATTCAAGTGAAAAACAATTATATGAGTATGGCAAACTATGTGAGTATACAATGTATTTTGTATATTTGAAAATACCATTAGTTACTAGCTCTAAAAATCTTTTAATATGGTTTACATTTAATGTTCTCATTCTTTTATTTGGTTTGGTGTATGAATTTACTGCTCCGTGTTTAACAAAATATCATGGATTTATTTAACTCTTCGAAATTTTCACAGCATAGCAAAATAACTAGAAAATTAATAACCAACATCAATAATAAAAACTATCTAACTTATTTTTTAAAAATAAAAATCCTTAAATAATTTTGTAGCAATTCTCCATTGATTTTTATTTTATTTTCAGGGGCGATAACTCAGAATGAAAGTTTATTCCAGTACAGCTATGGACAAAACACAAGTACTTTTTCAAACCCAAATTTCATGCCATTATTTTATGATGAACAAAATCCTACAACAATAGCAGAAGCTGAAAAGATTTGTAATGGTTCAGGAAATCTTCCTTGTATTTTTGACTTCATTGCTACACAGAATAAAAAAATTGCTGAAACTTCTTTAAAGTCTTCAGATCAATTTGAAAAAGTTTCAGTAAGCACAGGTAAATGCAAAAACTACAACGCAAGATTATAATTTTTAAGTTTCTGATTCCAAACACATTTAAATTCCTTTAAGTTCTGTTGAAATTTATCAAAAATATAAACATAAAACATAATGTTTTGCTGATTTTATCCAAGAAAAAATGCTTATTATTGTTTTGTCAAAAACATTCTGCAAGTCACTAAACATTGAAATATATAAAAAGAAATAAAGATAAAAATTATAATTTAAATTGCAAAATTTTTAAATAAGTAGCACTATTTACGCTTTGATAATAATTTGTTAATATGAAAAAGCTCATGAATATTTTGCACTATTTTAATCTTCAGCAAACCAAGCCCCAAATATTATTGTCAACACAACACAAGTTAGGGCCACCGTGAATCAATCTTTCAGCCTAACTCTAACAGCTTTTGATCCTGATGGTCAAGATGTTACTGTTGTTTTAATGACCAATGCTAATTATACTTTTAAAACTATTAATAAGAGAGACACATCAAAAGCTATTGCATCAACTTATTCAATTGTATTACCTAACACTGAAACTCAGATCTTGTAAGCATACTTTATAATAAACGTCTACATGTGATAATACACTATGTCTTTAAAATTAAATGTTACATCCTTTTTTAAAAGGTTTATTTTGTCTTAATAAACTTACATTTTCTTTTGCTTAAATCCAGATTCTCATCATCTGATAGTAAAGGACTGCATTCAGAATCAATAGCAATCAATATTTCTGCATGTAGTGGATGTAGTTATTGTGGAACATGTGATGAAGCTAGGCTTAGAGCAACATTAAATCCATATTTTTACTGGGAAGCATGCAACTGTAACATTGGATTTGCAGGTTCCCTTTAATTAATTACAATTTATAATACTAATAGTTATAAATATAAATTATTTTTATTTTATACTTGTTTATTTGTTTTTGGGTTTGAAACTTATTTTAAATATATTGTTAACAAAGTAAAACTGAGTTCAAAGTTATCACAAAGGAAAGAAACGTTTGTTTTTAAATGAAAAATTCAATCTTTAATCTTCCAAAAATATATTTATTTACCTTTGTTATATCAAACACCCACTCCGCCCCCCCCCCCCCCCGCCCCAAGAAGACAAAAAACCCACAATTTATTTTTTGTTGTAAAACGTTATACTTTTATCTCTTATAATGTTTTGTGTAATGTTAAAACATGCTTATGCATATAGTATTCCAACTCTGTCTAAATAAAAAATAGAATAGACTTTCAGCTATTAATGCAACCAATAGGTACTGACTGTGAACAAGACAATGATGGCTGTGCTACCAATCCTTGCCCCAGCATGACAGGTTGTGTAGACATACCAGCTTCAGAAGAACAAGTCACTGGGTTATCATACACATGTAAAGATTGTCCTCTTGGTTATCAACTGAATTCTAAAAAAACCAAGTGTGAAGGTTGGTTTTTTGTAATTATTCTAAGTTATATTTATCTAAAATAGTAAGAGTTCCATTGTATTTGTTATTTATTTATTTATTTAATATTTTAACATGTCATGTTATGTTTTGTTCAAAGATGTTGATGAATGTAAGAACACCCCACCTTGTGGTGCAAATGCTATATGTGAGAATAATTTCGGTAGTTTTGTTTGTAACTGCCCAAAAGGCTTCCGAAAATCTGGATCACTCAATTGTGTTGGTAAGTATTAAACATGTTAATGTGTAGCTATATTTGTACTACTACATTAGATTAAAACTATATTATTTAAATATTTACATTGACATTACAATGCTATCTTTTATTTATATTACATGATACGAAAAATCTTTAGCTTAAAAGCATATTAAATTGTTTGTAAGTAAATTTAAATAATATGCCCACAGACATCAACGAATGCTCAGAGAAATCACATGACTGTGATCAAATATGTGTTAACAACTTAGGAAGTTATGATTGCAGATGTTACCCAGGGTTTGCTAGGACTGGTGGCAAATGTGAACTGACAGAAAAGGGTATCTTAAAAAAATAACTAACTTTATTAATAAGTTGTGTTTATTTCAATGTATTATTTGATGCCTTCTATTTTACTGTGTTAAATGTTTCTTGTGTTATGAAATATCATTAATAATAGCAAACATCTACTTTTCTAATGATAGACCCATGTAAATTAATCAACAAGTCATGTGAATACAATTGTCGAAATGGCAGTAATGGAGCAGAATGTTTTTGTGCATCAGGGTACAAATTAAAAACAAACAACTATTCTTGTGAAGGTATTTTATTTTTTTCAAAATATACATGCACAACATCAATATGAATCACTCATTTTATTTTAAAACTTAAACATACCCTGTGAATGTATTTCTTTTGTTTAATTTTGTCTCAGATATAGATGAATGCAAAGAGAAAATCTGTTCACAAGATTGTATCAACACAAACGGAAGTTTCAGCTGTTCATGTTACTCTGGATATACTCTCAACAAGAATGATTTGCGCTCTTGTGACAGTATGTACTTATAACTATTTAAACAAATGATATGTAGGCCTACAGCTTTGTTAGAAATGTTTTAGCAAAAATGCACAATTTACAATAATTTTAAAATGAATTATGTAGTATTTATATGGTACTTTTTACTAACATTTTTTTCAGCCAGTGTATTATCTTCTATAGAAAATAGTGCAGAAATATGTAATTAAGCATCCATTTAGTGTTGTTTTTACCAATAAACCTCAATAAATATCTGTCTTATTCAACAAGGGTCCTCACTACCTATCCAAAATGCTCAGTATTTTCATTTTTATTGTACTTTTAATAAAAGCAAGATATAAATTTTATATTTTCCTGCAGAAGCAAAATGAGACATTAGAGATTTGTAATTTTTTCATCTGATTTCCTTATCAAATCAAAATATTAACAACTGTTAATGAGCATATTTTTGGTTTTAAAGTAGTAACTCCAGTACATTTATTTTTTATAACACTCATTAAATAATTTTTAAAAAAAATTTATTGAATTAATGTGAACATTATTTTAAAAAGCTGTATTTATTTTTATTTTCAATGAATTTGGGGAACCATTTTTTTTTAACTTGAGGTTTTAAATAATATTTAGTAAAATTTTCACTTGTCAATCCTAATTATTTTAATTTGCAACTTATTTATTTCACTGCTTTTTGATCAGTTTTATTTTGTTTCCAGCTTGTCAAGGCAACACCTATGGTTACAACTGTAGTAATACATGCCAGTGTAAAGGACGGGCTGTAAGATGTGACAATGTTAAAGGCTGTATTTGTCAAAGCAATTGGAAAGGAGAATCATGTGAAATAGATGTGGATGAATGTGCTATAAAACCTGATGTCTGTCCTATGGATCACAAATGTACAAATACAGAAGGCTCTTATACTTGTGACTGTCCTGTGGGTTACGAAGATATAAATGGAACATGTATTAGTAAGTTGAATTCTTTTTTCAATATTTTATAATATATTTTCAGTTGCAATGTTTTATGCATAGATAGTCAGTTTCCTATAAACTGCTTTAATTAGTGATTTAAATTATTTTAGTCATGTATATTTATATTTAAATCAGAAATAAAATAGAATATTGAGAAATTTTCTTCTTTTCTATTCATTAGTAATAGGCTAACAGTTATCCTGTTTTGTTGTATTTTAAAATACCAAAATTCTTTAAAAATTAATATTGTTTGAATAAAATTAAAATACATTTTGCTGCCTAATGTAAGTTGCATTTTTGCACTTGTTGTTTTTATCCCATTTTTTTTTTCTTAAAACTACTGCTGTTCAACTGAAAGGTAATAGGTATAGCCAGGTATGCATACTTTTGTATTGCTCTAAATACTAAAATACGAAATAATAGGACAGCGTGGCCTCAGTGGTTGAGCATAGGCTGCTAACCTTAAAGCCTTGAGTACAAAACCAGGTTCAAGTCAGTATAATGTCCCTCAGTCCACCCAGCTCTGACAGGTACCTAACTCATGTTCGGGAAAGTAAAGGCTCTTAAACCAAGTGCTGACCATGTCTTCTCTTCATATGCCTAGGTCAAGAAATGTATGAATTCTACTTCATTTTACTTTAAAGACTAACAAACAGCTTTTACACTTTTAGTATTTATTGATCAAAACATAAAAATACTTTTTTTTTTAACCAACCAGATATTAACGAGTGTGAAACGAGAAACATTTGTCCTCAAACATGCATTGATACACCAGGGTCATTTATTTGTGAGTGTAGAGGTGGATTTTTAAAGCTTCCTAATGGCACATGTAAAGGTAATTTCAAGTCTAAATGTATTGTTTCTGTTGTATGTAAACCTGATAATCATTTAATAAATCATTTGAATTCAATGAAAATTTAACTAACAAGAACACTTTTCTTCCCACCAAACAGATATTGATGAATGTGAGATTGACAAATCGGGCTGTGAACAGAAATGTATCAATGTCCCTGGAAGTAGCAACTGTGACTGTTATCCAGGTTACAGGTTAAAAGATGACAGAAAGACTTGTGAAAAAGATGGTAAGTTATAGCAGGCATTTACCATAAAATTATGTTCATAATTATAATATCAAATAATAAAAATTTCAAATAGCTACTATAGCCAACCATAACTTAAGTGAATTTTTACTTATCCAATTTATACCACCTTAAAAAATAAAATATTTTAAAAATATCTCAATGGGCATTTATTAATATAAGCTTTAACAATGTGTACTATTTAATTGATATTGTAGATGTTGATCCATGTGAAAACTTTTACCTGAACTGCAGTCAAGGATGTACTGTAGCTAATGACAAAGCACAGTGTTTTTGTGCTATAGGTTATATGCTGAGTAATAACCAGTTTGACTGTCTTGGTAAGCCATAGTGTCTTGTATATATATATATATATATATATATATATATATATATATATATATATATATATATATATATATATATATATATATATATATATATATATATATATATATATATATATTTATATTTATATATATTGCATTATAACATTTAGTAAAATTACTCTTTATTAAGGTTGTATATCTTCTGTTTTAGTAGTAAAAATCACATTAAAGAGAATCCAAGTAAACGTTTTTTATTTGTTTTATTCTAATAAAGATATTGATGAATGTGCAACACAGAAACTATGCAATGGTAGCTGTATTAACACTCCAGGGTCATACAATTGTTCTTGTCCAGTTGGATCTAAACTACAGAATGATAAGAAAACCTGTCAAGGTATGTATATATATGTATATATATATATATATATATATATATATATATATATATATATATATATATATATATATATATATATATATATATATATATATATATATATATATATATATATATATATATATATATATATATATATATATATATATATATATATCGATGGTCTCGGTCGCAAACCGTCTAACTCAAAAAAATTCCATTTTCTTTTTTTTACATAAATCAAAAGCCAGTATGATTCCCCATAATGCCTGAAAATATTAGAGAACTCTGTGGAATGATTATCGAGATATAATCATTTGAACAAACCGCCTATTATTTCAAGCGCTAAAAATCTCGGCGCAAAACGAATATCGCTATATTTGTGAGTACACTTTTGATCGGGAACGCAGTCGCACGCCGCAATCACACAATTTTACAGCACAGCAGTGACAGTACTTATAGGTAAGGATATTTTATTAATTATGTTCAGCTATTCTATTACATTTTATCATTTTAAAGAATAATAAACAAATAGTATTTGTTTAATATAGCCTATTTCCAGATTTTCAATAACCAAACTGATTTGTTTACAATTTTTTAGGCTAAAACAATGCTTTGAAACTAGATCTTCATTCTAGAATCTAAATATCAATCAAAACAATATTATTCGAATTATATTTCCACAAGTTTGTGCAATAAATTTAATTATTGTTAATTCACTACTAGCTTTAGATTGAGGGTTCAGCTACGTGTTAAGAAATGTTTATATGGTAGGTTACAAAATGTTTGGCGTACGTGTTCAACGAGCTGGTTAGTTGTCTTTAGTAAATGCTTTTATGATTAAATTTCAACAGACAAGCCTACCACAACACACCAGATTTTCTCAACAGATCAGCCTCTCTCAACAGACCAGCCTCTCTCAACAGACCAGCCTCTCTCAACACACCAGTCTTACCACATAACAGACCAGCCACTCTCAACAGACCAGCCTCTCAACATATCAGCCTCTCTCAACAGATTAGCCTCTCTCAACAGACCAGCCTCTCTCAACACACCAGTCTTACCACATAACAGACCAGCCACTCTCAACAGACCAGCCTCTCAACACACCAGATTCTCTCAACAGATCAGCCTCTCTCAACAGACCAGCCTCTCTCAACACACCAGTCTTACCACATAACAGACCAGCCACTCTCAACAGACCAGCCACTCTCAACAGACCAGCCTCTCTCAACAGATTAGCCTCTCTCAACAGACCAGCCTCTCTCAACACACCAGTCTTACCACATAACAGATTAGCCTCTCTCAACGGACCAGCCTCTCTCAACAGACCAGATTCTCAACTTATCAGCCTCTCTCAACAGATTAGCCTCTCTCAACAGACCAGCCTCTCTCAACACACCAGTCTTACCACATAACAGACCAGCCTCTCTCAACAGACCAGCCTCTCAACATATCAGCCTCTCTCAACAGATTAGCCTCTCTCAACAGACCAGCCTCTCTCAACACACCAGTCTTACCACATAACAGATTAGCCTTTCTCAACAGACCAGCCTCTCAACATATCAGCCTCTCTCAACAGATTAGCCTCTCTCAACAGACCAGCCTCTCTCAACACACCAGTCTTACCACATAACAGATTAGCCTCTCTCAACAGACTAGCCTCTCAACATACCAGCCTCTCTCAACAGACCAGCCTCTCAACATATCAGCATCTCTCAACAGACCAGCCTCTCTCGACATACCAGCCTCTCACAACAGATTATCCTCTCTCAACAGACCAGCCTCTCTCAACAGACCAGCCTCTCAACATATCAGCCTCTCTCAACACACCAGTCTTACCATACAAGACATCAGCATCTCTCAACTGACCAATTTTTAAGGAACCAGCATCTCTCAACTGACCAGCCTTTCACAAAAGACCAAACTCTCATCAATGACCAATCTTACCATACAGGAAACTAGAATATCTCAACAAACTAGTCTAACCTTCTAAGACACCAGCAACTCAACAGACCAGCCTCTCCCAACAGACCATTCTTACCATACAAGAGACCAGTCTCTCTCAGCAAACCAGTCGTAATATACTAAAGACCAAACTCTCTCAACACACCAGTCTTACCAAACAAGACACCAGCCTTTCTCAACAGACCAGTTGTAACATACAATAGACCAGCCTCCCATAACAGACAATAGACACCAACCACCCTCAAAAAGACCAGTCTTACCATACAAGAGACCAGCCGCTCTCAAAAGACCAGTCAGACCTATCAAGAATGCGACAAATATTCGTGCACTGCAGTACAATCATGCAGGGGCGGAACTACCATACCGCCAGACCCCGCAATGCGGGGGGGCCCAGGACGTTTAGGGGCCCATTTCCGACCAAAAAGCAATGATTTTTTTTTTCAAAAATTATGTTTTTCATGCATCTTGAAAGTGGTTTTGTAAAAAAAAAAACAGGTCTACTATAGCAGAGATTGTTGCGTAGAAAAATATTTTAGAATCTACAAGAGCTATAGTTTGAAAGGTAGGTAAACATTCACACTACTTGCATGACTTACTGCCCTTCTTTAAAATAGGGATGCCCACGAAGCTCATTTTATAAGTTTTGTACTATGTAAATTAAAAAGCAATTGATTCTCTGAATTGTTACTTAAATAAGACGTACTATACAATAGTATAGCTATAAAATTCAATGTTTTCAAAATTGATATTATAAAAGCCAAAAATGAAAAAAATAAACATAACGCGAGAAACCATTCACGAATCAACCTAACGTCTTTATATATTTTTGACCAGTATTTTCAGTTACTATTTACTCAATATTAGTTTGGACTAAATTTTTTCTGGTTTGTTCTCTCAGAATGGTTATATATTGCAATGAAGTAGACTAAATAACTCATATAGGATATAGAGTATATATATATATATATATATATATATATATATATATATATATATATATATATATATATATATAAATATATATATAGGGGGGCCCTAGTTTTTTCTTTGCGGGGGAGCCTTTGATTTCTAGTTCCGCCACTGCAATCATGATGCTACTATCTACTTCAAAGTGAATTAGCAGATAGCTGGCAATTGCTAAGCTACGGTTGTAAGATTATTATCTCATCTGTAGCCCCTGAGAAGTTGTACAAGAGCAGAAATAAAGATAAAAGCTGTTATATATGAGCACCTAAAAGCAAGTTATAAATTCACATTTTTGTGATGATTTGCCTGATTTTAAAAATATGTTGCCAATTTAATGTCTCTTCGTGTGACGTTTATTTAAAGAATAAATTAAAACATAAATACATTGTTTTTGTTACATTTTGTCAAATAAGTAAACATTAAGTCATTATTAATGTGATTAATGTGTTATATCTCATTCATAATATATCTGAAAATAAGGTATATGTTTTTACTGTTATCATTCTACAAACCCAGCACCCACTAGATTTAGTTAAATAAACTGTGAGAATAGAAAGATGGAATAAATAAAGCATAACCATCAACAGTTAACAAGTCTAGTGCTAAATACAGCCATAATGAATAAACAGTCGAAAGCGATAAAGCAATATTAACACATCTCTACTAAAATTAAACTGACCATATATTAAGCAGAATAAACTCAAATAATTAAAATATGAGCCCAAAACTATAATCTAAATATTATGAAGTGTTAAATATAACTTAAAAGCATAAACATAACTAAAACACGTTCATTGGACAAAACGAACGAACGCGGCTGAGACCGAAATTCTCGTTTCAAAACAGCTAAGTCTGCGCGCGCACAGATAGACGGTTTGCACCGAGAATTTTAGACCGAGCAAACCGTCTATCTTTTTAAATCTGCTATAATTTTGTAAATATCAACAAACTCATTTTAAAACGCTACAGTATAGTCGGTAGAGAGTTTCTTTGCACATATGATTAACAATAGTTTGTATTAAAGCGATCAACAAAGAAATAATCAGTTTTTTGTCTCTCCTGTAAAATTTACATTTTTGGAGTTAGACGGTTTGTGACCGAGACCATCGATATATAATATATATATATATATATATATATATATATATATATATATATATATATATATATATATATATATATATATATATATATATATATATATTTTAATTAATTTTAATTCATATTATGCATATTGCTTAGCCATATTACAAAAAAAAATCTTCTTGAAAATTACATTTTTGTGTTCATTCTTTTCTACATATAATAGGCTTAATAAAATCTAATGCATAGGCCTATTTATCAACTCCATTTAGAAAATATTGTACTATTTTTATTAAACTTTCAATTTTAAAAATTGAGGTGCTTAAATTTTTTTAGAATGTGATGCCTATCACTGGGGAGAGAACTGCGCCACAGAATGTAACTGCAGCACAAGAGGTACATCAAGATGTGACCCCACACAAGGATGTCAGTGTAAAGCTGGCTGGGCAGGAACTTGGTGCCAGGATGATATTAATGAATGCTCAAGTCTTCTACCACCATGTCCTGTAACATCAAGTTGTGTCAACACATTTGGCTCTTTTTATTGCCAGTGTAAACAGGGATATGCATTTGTTAACAATACATGTACAGGTAGTTATATTTTGTTTATTTATGTGTTCAGGTATTTTAGTTTTGTTATTATTTATATATTGTTTTGTTATTCTATATATATATATATTATTTATGTTGCAGAATTTTGTTGCAGATTTTTTTTTGTAAATCATGTGTGTTGCTGAACACATTAAAAACTCATGTCTAAACATATAAATTTTTTATTAGATATAAATGAATGTTTGAGTTCACCATGTGACCAGATCTGCACCAACACACAAGGCAGCTTCCAGTGCTCTTGTTATTCTCAAGGTTTTATTTTTAATGGAACACAATGCAATGGTAGATATATTTGCTTTCATATTTTCAGAATTTATATATTTTTTTAAAATGTTGTTTACATAACAAGGTCCAATAAAACTTTGATTAAATTTAAACAATCTTATGTACTATATTTTCTAATTCTAATTGGATTCTGTATTTTCAAAAGAAATAAATGAATGTGCTGTAAAAGAATTAAATAACTGTGACCAGGAATGTAGAAATACAATTGGTGGATTTGCCTGTGAATGTTACGAAGGATATGAATTAAATGAAACAACTAGAAATACTTGTATTAGTAAGTTTTCGTTATCTTATACAACTTTAAAAAATTAAAATTGTTTATAATTATTTATAATTGCAAAATCATTTACATGTATACATAATTGTAGTAAAAAATTACATTTTACTTGCCAGATCATGTAATGTTAACAGATATTACATTTTCAAAATCATCTTTAAATAATAATAAAATACTATTCTTATAATGTGTTGTAAATATATTGGCATGTAGAAATTGTTTTGTAAAATTTAAGTTAGCAGCCTAAATCAGAAGTGTCCTGCATCAAACAGCTGTGAACAATTGTGTGTACTAGTAAATAATACCCAGCTTTGTTCATGCTTTTCTGGATACAGCATGATTAATAATTCCTGTGTTGGTATGTGATTTTTCTGTGTTTTTATAAATGTAAAGTATACTGCAATAAAAAGAATATTGTCCGGGAATTGCACTAATATGAATTGAATTGTTAAAAAAATTGGAAATATTATTTCTCAACTTTATGAAATTCAATTGAATAAAGAATTACATAATTACATGTTCTTCTCTAAATTGTTTTTCTTTTTATTTTAGATATAAATGAGTGTGAAAATAACCCTTGTGTTGGTGGTGAATGTATCAACAGTAATGGATCATTTTCATGTTCCTGCCAAAACGAGACAGAACTTTTAGAAGACAAAAAAACTTGCAGAGGTAAATATCCACTTTTATATCATGAGTCCACCCAAATCTGATGGGTACCAAACTGACGTTAGGGTAAGTAAAGACAGCTGGGCAAAGTGCTGACCACATTATAACTTCATATGCCATGGTCACAGAAACAAGTAAACTCTACTTCTCTGGCCCCTTAGACTGTCAGGTTTGAAAGGGAACTTTACATATATCATGGCAAGCAAATAGCTTTTCTGCACACAAAAAAGTAGTAATTCAAATTATTTATTCGGAAATGAATTTTGACTGCTTTAAGATTTAAAGGCATGGCATTTTGTATTAATTTAAAATAATAATAGTGTTATAATACTTGCCTTGTTTCATTCTGTTGAAAATTGCATTAAAATACTCATTGATTAATTCAATTTTTTTTAAAAAGAATAACCTGTTTCATTTTATCTCTAAAGCTTGTCAATATGGCTCCTATGGCCCCAACTGTGGTGAAAATTGTACCTGCAACACTACCAACACCAAACCACAAATCTGTTTTATTAAAAATGGAAATTGTGATTGTTTAAAAGGCTGGTCTGGTCCCAACTGCAGTACTGATATTGATGAATGTAGTACAAGTCAAGTATGTCCAGCCGATGCCGAGTGTGTCAACACACCTGGTTCTTTTAGATGTGTCTGCGAAATTGGCTTCTTTAGTTCCACTACTGGCTGTTTGTGTAAGTTAAAATGTATCTACTTTTACTGTTTTAGTGTTGGTAGACAAAATGCAAATTATAAGTCTTGTGTGCAGAAAAATGAAGTCAGTGGCTATGAATACTATAAGTAAAGTATTAAAAAATATATCCAGAATAAAAAATGCAAACTCTTATTGAAATAATAGTTAATAAAAAAAAAAAGTTTTTTTGGTATGGCAAACTTTTTAAGGTGCCTTGAAGTTTTAAAGACAAAATGACTTAGATAGCAATAACACTTATTAATATTTCCTACACAAGGAGTAGGCCTATCAGTTTAGTGGTATTATTTTTCATCTAAGATTGTTCCATTTCATTCAGACTTCTGTTTTGTCAAATGATCATAGCTTGATATAGGCCATTATTCATTATTTTCTCAGCTTGCACTTTTTAAAAAAAGTACAGCGTGTGTATAAATTTTGTCCTATAATCTATTTTAGCATGTGATGAGAACCACTATGGCCAGGACTGTAAGAAGACTTGTACATGTGTAAAAGACAACAGCAATAACTGCAATGCTGTCAATGGAACTTGCACATGTAAACCAGGGTGGACTGGCTCTGACTGTGAAACAGATATAGACGAGTGTTTGAACACCAGCTACTGCCCAGATATACATGAGAGTTGTTTTAATTTGAATGGATCTGCAGAGTGTAGATGTCATAAAGGTTATCAAAGAACTGGAGGATCTGACTGCCAAGGTGTGTAGCCTACTAACTAGAAAATTTGCGAAAATTCTAAGATAGTCTCTAGATATAGATCTACTCAACAAAATGTCATTAGAATTAAGTAAGAAAGTGAAAAATTCAAGCAATCAATGATATGTGTAGTGAACTTTAAAATTCACTACATTTTATGAAATTTTACCTCAAAACTTCTGCAGTTTTATAGCACAACTTTATTTTTAAATAATTATTACAAACAAAATATAATTATACTTAATCCATACATTGTTCCTCAAATTTTCAAGATTGGTTGTCTAATTTAAAAAAAAAAAAAATTATAGAAAATTTTCTATATGAGAATCACCAACTCTTGGACAGTAATTACAGATTAAACAAAAGGTTTTTAAAATAAAAATATTAAATTTGAGGGTGTTACTTTAAAATCAAATTTTAATTATTTTTAAAACTTAACTTTTAAAAAAGATGCTTGTGTTTTACATTAATAAGTAGTTACAAATAACTAAAATACAAGTAATAACCTCCAAATATTTTCAGCCAAATTGCTGAATTATTAAATGTATTAAATGATAGAGTCTGTGTAATATGGTCATAATGTTCTGTTTTCAGATATAGATGAATGTCTAGATCCAACCTACTCTTGTGATGAGACAAAACAATGTAAAAACACACAAGGCTCATATGATTGTGTATGTAAACAAGGTTATCTATTTGTCAACAGTACAAAGCCCTGTAAAGGTTAGTTCTAAACTTTTTCAAAAAAATTATTTTACATGCCTAACTTTGAGGGGTAAACACATGAAATGATTTATTTATCCAAATTTTTTTATTACTTAATGAATGATTAAGCGGTCGGCGTGGTCGAGTCGGTAAAGCTCATGGTTGCTAAACCGAAAAGACTCGAGTTCGAACCCTCGGGCAGATGAGGCTCGTTAGCTGGGGACAGCCACTCTTCTAGGAGAGACAACTCTAAAATTAAACAACTGCTGCCTTGTAGTTTGTTCTTGGTTGGACAAAGGCTATGGAAGCAAATCCAAAAAGAAAAGCAGGCTGAAATCGGAGTCAATGGCCTCGATGGCGCATAACCAGTTGACAAGTAACGCTTAATTGTGTTGGAGGCATGGTCGAGTCGGCAAAAAGCTCATGGTTTATAAATTCGAACAAAGTCTCGAGTTCAAACCCACTGGCAGATAAATCTCGATCCCCTTCAACACCTATAATTAAGAACGAAGAAGAAGAAGAAGAATGAATGATTTATATCATCTTATTTTGCTTGTTTGTATGTTATCACACTATCTTATATCTTCTTCAGTGAATTTTCGCAGTTTCCCAATGCAGCTGAGATTGAATATTGTACCGGATGCAAATGTGTTTATTTACAACACAAAACAGTTTATCTCTCTTAAATTAAATATTGAAGATAGTGTAAGACTGTTTATAATGTTTTATTATTTGTCTGAAAATATTACACTAAGTACATATGTGGTCATCCATTAATCAAGGAACAATTATTTTATCATTACCACTATCAACACATCATGCCTACTATATCATTAAATGTCACAAGAAGCTAGACACTGACGCTAAATTTTAATCACACCTCAGTAGCAACTCCCCCCTCCTCCACCCAATATAGGCAATGAAAATTGCAATTTTTTTTTAATTTTGTTTTTAATGGCATATTTTTGTTTTTGAAAATTGCGGGTTTTTTTGGGGGTTTTTTTGTAAAAATATTTTATGAGCTCTGCCATTGACAGGATGATCACTAATTTATAATAGAAATTAAACTCAAAATAAATGCTAAAATTACATTTCAAAATTTAACTTCAAAATGTAAAATGAACCAATCCCCATGTATTCTCCTTCATCACACATGTTCATAAAAATCTGAACACTCCACACTCGCACCTAGGAATGTGATATCATTTATTGACCACCCATATGCTCTATTAGAAAAGTATTATAAATATATTTTAATATTTAAAATACATAAAACTGTTTCAGTTAAACAAGTTAGGTGGAGATGAAGTGGGAAAAGAAATTTTTCCATTTGTAATTTCAAAGTTCACGTAAGTATAATAATATTGACTGTAATGTTGAATCAACACTTTTGAAACCTATCAGTGTCAATAAAACTATTTGAATATTATCATCTACCAACCTAAACCCACCATATTCTCCCATTGTTTTCATTATTCTTCTCTGCTGAACACTTGATACTATAACAAAAATCTAACCTGCAGACAATACAACCTGTATAGCCATTTCACTTTAATTTGATAGTCATCTAGCAAATCATTATAATACAAATTCACAATAAAATTACCGATTATAATTTTGTAATCATTTACAGGGATGGATCTATCATAGCTCATACAGCCATTGTGGTAGACCTAACTTATACCAGCACTCCTGCATATTCTGCAACCATGTACGCCATCAGTTTAAAAAATAATCAAAATATAACTGTTGGTTCTGACATCATAAAAATCTTGAATGTTTTAGTCCAAAACCAATCAAGTGAGTTATAAGTTTAAATTAAAAATAATGCAGCTGTTCTGTTACACAGCTAGATGATTTATGAATTAAATATTTTCAGCTATTTTTTTTTCTATTAGCACAAGGCTGTTTTTATTTCATCTACCTTTCCCAATATATACACTTTAAATTATTTGCATTATTCACATAAAAGTTCATATTTTTAAAAAACTAAAGAATTCTCTTTAAACCTAGTGATCCATTGAGCAAATGAAGTAGAGTTCATTTGTTCATTTGTTTCTTGATCTGGAATGTGAAGGAAGGTGAGGTCAGCCATTTACCGGCCCACCTTTACTTAACATGAGTTAGAGAGACATTCTATTGCCCTGGACCCTATTCAAACTTGAGACTTATGGGTTAACAACTTAGCACTTAACCCAGTCCCCCCCCACTTCACAAAGTAACTAATCTTAATCATTCCTAAACATATTTTCAATTGCAGATCTAACTAGCCAAACATAATGTTTTACCATCTATTTATTTTCTTCAATATCTGCTAATTCTCATGTTAATTATTAGTTTCAGACAATACTTGTGACCTGTACACTCAGTTATCTCAATCATGTTCATCCACTGAAAGTTGTTATGAAAATACTCAGAATCTTACAGAGTGTGAGACAATTATAAAAGATACAGGTATTTCAAAAATTGCAAATATATTTTTATTTAAGTAACTTTATTTAGCTACATTTGTCTGTAGGCAAATCAAAACGTGCTCATTTTACAACTGATGCAATTTCTTTATTAACAGACAGGTTGGCCTTAATTCTAGGACTTTCAATTGGAATTGGTGTGTTTATCATAATTGTTGTGGTTATTGCTGTTTATGTTGTTGTTCATCAAAAGGAGTTAACTAAATACCATCTATATTCAAAGCCTATTAATGAGTAAGTATATAGGCCTTATGTAAATCATGTACTTACATTTACTTTTTATTATTAAAATTAGCAGGACAGAGATGCCTAGAATTCTCTTGTCAGTGGCATCAGTCCCAGGAGTGGTGACAGGCCAACCTAATCTAACCTAAGAAAATTATTTCAATAAAAATTCACAATTTTGTTTATTAATTTTATTCAACTTTTTTAAATAAATATATATTTTACTTAGAGCTTAAAATTTTAAAGGTAAAATGTTTTATTTTTAGAAGGTTTTTTTTTAATCTACATTGACTAGTACTTACATTAATTGAAAATGTAAGTATTTTAATATACTTTGCATGGTGTATTTTTTAACATTTAAAATAATATGTACTTACTTTTAGAAATAAACAGCGTACAAGGGAAGACTCAAGTTATCAGTCCATGGAACTACCACCTGTGATGGCAAGTGATCCAGCTGCTAAATGTTTAAAATTTAATCAAGTCCTTTCTCCTTTTAGTGAAGCTATATACAATGAAAACTTGATGTACTGACATATCAGCAAACCATTTCTTACTCTTACACTTTTAAAAATCTTAAAATATTACCACAACACTTTTGGCACATAATAAATCCTAAATGTAAATTTAAAATGTTTTTCTTAGTAAAATAAATTGTATAATTAATTTTATGATTATTCAGTGAAAGTTAATATTTCCTTATATAAATGATGTCATACATCCATGTTAAAATTAGATTAATTGTTGCACAATATGTTTCAATAAACACATTATAGCCTTTGTCATTTCCTTTCATTAACTGAACCTTATGATTATCTTATATTTCGGGTTAGGTTTAATGTTAATAATATGTTTAGAATTAATATATAAATTTTAAAAACTTGTAAATTGTAATTATTGTTGAGTATACTTTATGTAAATATTATATGTAATAATATTTAGCAATAAATTCTTCTAAAATTGCTTTTGAAATATACTTATTTTTGGTATTTATTTTAATATCTGCACAATATTATTATAATTGTTGTTTACATATTGCAATATACAACAGTTTAGGAAAAAAAGATATTAAAAATTGCATCACAAAACTGATTCATGGTAGCCTTTGTGTTAACACTTTAGTTCCCAACTTGATAAGTAGGCTAGTATAGTTATAATAGGCCTATGCATTTTTCATTGCTCTGAGTAAAGTGCCTTTGTGTCATTATTTAATATTAAGTGAATGTGTTTTGTGAATTGATTTCAAGTTTTGTATTTGATTTTGTCTTGTGCTAATTGGAATTTACAAAATAGGTCTGCCTACTGTATAATAAGTGAGTGTTGTCATGTAATTATACCAATAACAGAAAGTATATAGGGAGTAGCATTTAAGTCAGTAGAACGTCCTTGAGTCCACCCAGCTCTGATGGGTACCTAACTCACGTTAGTGAAAGTAAAGGCGGCTGGGCAAAGTGCTGACCACACTTTTTCATCATACGTCGAGGTCAAGAAACTCTACTTCACCTGCCCAATGCATCGCTAGATCCTGAAGATGATTAATTATATTTATCTTTATGTTAAGATTATCTATCAAGATAATCCATTTTGTTATTGTAAGGACTGCATTAGAATATTGCATTCCATTGAAATATCAACAACCGGTTTTACAGCTATTCGAGCGATCAGAGTAATGGTGCCACAGTTCTCTATTACGTTGTATTTTGTATGCCCTTCTCTAAACTAGTGAGTGATATCTGATCTCTCTGGAAGCTTCACGCTTGGCTGGCCATGAGAACTAAGTCACATTATAGATATATATAACTATATATACTTATATATATATTATACAAAAGCGCGAGACAGTAGATTCACACAAAGTTTAGCTTGTTGCTAGGATCTGTCTTTCACATCTAGTTTATGGATATACATCGTTTTTTCTACAATCTGTTTATTTGTGTGGTATCACGAAAGCCGATATAAGTTAGAATATCTACCCACAAATGGAGAAAGAGTTCAACATACGTTTTATTTATGTGTACCTTCTGTTTACCCTGGCTGTGAGCAAAACAAAAGCAGGTAGTTTTGTTTTCTTATTTCTTGTATAATTATTAACAAGTAGCGGTCTAGTCTAGCAAAACCGTAATTTTTTAAGACAATAACATAGCGAGTTCTTGTTAGCAGGTAATTATATAATAAATACTGTCTTTGTACTTAATATAATTACATACACATATATCTCAACTCTCTCTGTATCCCCCCCACTCTCTCTCTCTCTCTCTCCCTCTCTGTATATATATATATATATATATATATATATATATATATATATATATATATATGTATATATATATATATATATATATATATATGTATATATATATATATATATGTATATATATATATATATATATATATATATATATATATATATATATATATATATATATATACATTTAACAGTGTTCGTCCGTCCGTCGTCCACCCCCCCCCCCTCCGAAAATTTCAAGTGCCCCCCCCCCCCCTGGAGAAAAAAGTCTGGAAGATACACTGTATAAAATGTTTAAATATACAAGACAAATACAGAGGGTGGTAGATCTACTTGCTTTAATCTGCTACAAACATTGAATGAAATATTTTAAGGAACACAACAATGACGTCGTAGGTTTATAAAACCTACACAGACTTATCAAATCTAGATGTAAACCTTTCGTAGACATGGCAATCTGATCGTACCATTAGCCTCGTTCAACTCGCAAAACTTCATACGAACCATACATAGGCCTACTTTCCTGTTCTCAAAGTAAATAACCATTCTATATTTTTGTATGGGACAGCGTGATCTGATATTAGAGCCCACGACTGTTAACACACAAATCTCGTAATCGAACCTCGGCTCTAGTCTGTATTACCTCGAGTCCATCCAGCTCTGATAGGCACCTGACTCACGTAAAGAGAAATTAAAAGTGGGCTGGGCATTGTGCTGACTAAACTCACTTTTTGTATGCTGAGATCACACAAATAGGTTAACATATCATCGCCCCTTTGACAGTGTTTCGTTCAGACTTTTTTCTCCAGAAGTGCACTTGAAATTTTCGGGGGGGGGGGGTGGATTGGTGGACAACAATTTTCAGGGGAACGGACACAGTTAAACTTATATAATTTTCTATATAAATTCATTTCGTTCGGGGGGGGGGGGGGGGCGGGTGGTAGACTTTTTTCAGGGGGGGGGGGGACTGTGTGTCCCCGAAAAGGTGCCTGGAGGAAACTACCCTTTGATCGCCAGGCTCGACAAAGTAAGTTTTGTTGAATCGAAGTTAAAGTAAAAAGAATTATAACTAACCGCAATTTAAGACATAAAGACACAGCTTGTAACTAAACCGGGAGTGATCTCCCCAAAACTTTCTCGAATATTTTTATTTAACTTGGAATATAGACATGATTTTTAATTACTTAACTTTTAAAAATAGAATAGAATCTCATAGAAAAAAGAATTGCGCACCAATCGAACGCCAAAATAAAATGTGCATAATAGTGCGCAATATTATTAGTACTTTATACATTTACATGCATTCTTTGAGAAATAGGAAATAGCGTAAATTAGTACTTCCGGTAAACGGAAACGACTCAAAATTTGACCGAAGGTAGAAAATTAGATCTTTTACTTACATGTGAAATTTCATTTATCTATCTGAAATAGTACTCAAGTTATAGGCTTTTGAAAAATTCAAAGTAGAAAAAGTACCACTTCCGGTTATTGGAAATCGCTCAAAAGTTGACAGGGATCTACGATTTTTATAAAATACTTATATATGAAATTTCATCAACCTAGCTGTAACGGTACTCAAGTTATCGTGTTTACACACAGACAGACAGACACACAGACAAGATTGCAAAATTATGTTTTTCCGTATCAGTGAGGTGTAAAACGTCGAGATTTGTAAAAATCTCGAATTTTCTTTTTTGCACGATTACAAGACTTTCTCTATACGAGAAAGTAATAACACAAGGCAATAGTACATAATGGTAAATGAAGTGTCGCGACAGTTATTGGTATGGTGTTAAACTAGGTGTTGGATTGCTTGGGTGAGGAAGCGAGTGATTGCTAGCCTGCACACTCCCTAGTGTGAGGCTCGTTAGCTGAGAAATACAAGCCACTAATTCCGAAATCAAGCAGTAGTGGAGCCTTGGGTTTATCTTTGGCAGCTGCGACACAGTTGGTGTACAAGTAATGTCTCACCCAGTAGCGTACGCAGGGGGGGGGGAGCAGGGGGAGCGGCCGCTCCCCCTCTGGCCATTTTCAGCAAAGTGGCGCCTTTTCGAAACTTTTTAAACTTAAAGTTTTAATCAATGATATTTGTTAAAAAAATATTTTTGGTCGGCACATCTATGTAAAGCACAAGATTTCTTTTCATGCAGCAATTAAGCATTATTGTACTAGTCTAGTAGTGTCTACGTTTACAACACGTATTAACAGCTGCAGCAGTTTGTCATTCTAAAAATAACCATTATACTGCATTGCAATGTTTAAAAAACCTCTACGGGTAGTACCACTTGGCAAGAGGGGTGTTAAGTTTAAGGCAACTGTATAATGTATTTGCTTGCCAATGATTGAATTAGAAAATGGTATACATAAAAATTCACACATAATTACTTTATATATATACAGTTTGAATCGTGTGATTATTTTTTTAATCACAATACAGAAACAAATACAACTGATGTGGCACCTCTACTTAAATTTACTTATGAGCAAACTGCGTAGTGGTGGGAAACTTTTGACAAGGTCAACAACGTCATCACGATGAAGTAGTAGTATTCTTACAGTTTGGGCGATAGTGATTACGATTACAAATGATATGAAACAGTTACAACCCACCTCCCCCATGGATCCCTCTGTAAAAAAAAATATTGTCATAATACCACTGCTACTTATTTAAATCTATTTCTGTAATATATATTTGTGTAATATATATTTGTGTAATATATATGTATGTTTAGAACAGTCATCTAAAAACTGACGCTATGTTCACTTTGAGTTGGTTATCTCCCCCCCCCCACCTCACCTCCACAGTTGTGTAGAGCGACATTAATGTCACACCTAGGTATACACTGGGTTGGATAATTGACCTAAAGTGACCGGACAGTGGTGAATGAAGTTGAACCCCCCCTCCCCAACCCACCCCGAACTGATCTGTTAAGTACATGTAGAAAAACGCGTAATGATGTACCAAAGTACCATGCCGCCAGAAAATTACCTTTTAAACGTAAAACTCACAAATATTGTTTTTGCAATTACCAGTAAAAAGGTGTGTGATCTAACCCATACCTATCACTATGTTAAAAAAATACCTTTAAAAAACACTAAGAAGCAGTAGTATTTAATAATATATGATCTGAACTAAAAAGGCCGATATTTAGTTAAATTTCGGCTGTTATTCCGCGTGTTTTTCTAAAATATCGAAAAGCGTGGTTTTATACCAACTCTGATTTTAAAAACTTTCATTATGCTGTAATACTTTAGCATTTATGATGACGATATATTAAATTCTGATTATAGATAAAAACATTTTTTAAACTCGAATATTTTTAAATAATTTCATTATATTCTAAAGGAAGTATTTATTTGTTTTGCCATTTATAATTAAATGTGTAGATATATACCTATTTATATTAAGCGAGTGATTATTTCCCATATTTCACTTGTCTTAAATAATTTCCCAGGAATTATTATGTAAAATAATTTTTTTACAAGAATTACAAAACAGATTGTGTTACGATCATTGTTTTTGGTTGTAGTGTGTATTTTTTGTTTGTTTTGTCGGCCTACATTGTGTGTTTTTTTCTTATTTCTTCAGAGTGATACTTTCAATTTTTTTTTTACATCATAGCGAAGTAATGACACATAGCTAGTAATTATATATATATATATATATATATATATATATATATATATATATATATATATATATATATATATATATATATATATATATATATATATAATTCACGTATATAGAACGTGTTACAAATTCGGCGCCTTTTTTGCTCTTTTCGCTCCCCCTACAACGAAAACCTGGATACGCCTCTGGTCTCACCTTATGGCCTATCAGCTGTGAGGTGAGAGAATCTGTAACATGGGCAACGTCTTGATTTTCTCAACCTGTTGCTCGGTTTTTGTGCCTTGTTTTCCGAGATACAATCATTCAATCGTCTATCCGAATATTAATTCATTTATTTATTTACTTCTATCTCTACTTAAAACTTACTTTGAATATCATTGTTCTTTACAATAATTTCACATTTTTAAAAAAGTTATTCTGTTGATAATAATATGCTGCTGGGCATTAAATGCAGTTAAGCACAATATGCCACATGCAACCATTAATTTTTTTCTAATTTTCTGAAATTGCATTTTAGCAACAATTGCCGCATCTTCAGCTTTAACAACAGAAGTGGTCACAACAACCGACGTTTCATTAAGCAGCTCTACATTTGCAATCGCAACAACTGCCAAGTATCAAACAAGCACGAATTCTGAAAGCTCTGCGACTTTTTTGACTGTGCAAGCCACATTAAAAACTTCCACATTTAGAACAACAGACTCATCTGTGCCAACATCAGACGTTTATATGTCAAGCACACCTGAATCATCTGTACAAACAACAGGAGTTTACACATCCTTTACAACTGAATCACCTGTACTAACAGCAGAACTGTACACATCTAGTACAAATGAATCACCTGTCTCAACACCGGAAGTGTATACATCAAGCACACTTGAATCAACAGTGGAAACAACAGAAGTTTACACAAACGCTCCACCTGAATCAACTGTGCCAACAACAGAAGTGTACACATACGCTGCATCTGAATCACCTGCGCCAACAACAGAATTGTTTACATCCAGTACACCTGAATCAACCTTGCCAACAACAGCAGTTCACACATCCAGCACACCTGAATTACCTTTTCAAAGTAATGAAGTTCACACATCCAGTACATCTGAATCACCTGCGCCAACAGCTGAAGTTCCCACATCCACTACACCTGAATCACCTGCGCAAACAACTGACGTTACCACATTCAGTACACCTGAATCAATCGTGTCAACAACAGAAGTTCACACATTCACTACATCTGAATCAACTGTGCCAACAACTGAAGTTCCCACATCCAGCACGCCTGAATTACCTTTTCAAAGTAAAGAAGTTCACACATCCAGCACGCCTGAATTACCTTTTCAAAGTAAAGAAGTTCACACATCCAGTACATCTGAATCAACTGTGCCAACAACAGAAATTTACACATCTCAAACAGAATTGCACAGACCAACAACTTCAGAAGAGCCAACAGCTTCAGAAGAACCAACAACTTCAGAAGAGCCAACAACTTCAGCAGAGCCAACAACTTCAGAAGAGCCAACAACTTCAGAAGAGCCAACAACTATTTCTACACAATTTTCAAGTATTCTGGCTTTTTCAATTAGTTTAATTTTTAATACAAAATTTTATTGAAAATTATTTGAGTAAATCTGATTTTGTTTACTAACTCACGACCACAGACTCATCTAAATTATTTTTTCTACAAATTTTTTTCACCTCTTGTTTTTTTTTTTTTTTGTAACCTCTAATATTTTCTAAACCATCATTTATTTCAAAATATTTCTTTATAGATATCACAAAATGAAGACGACGCTTAGGAAATACTTTTAAAAAATGTCATTTAGTGGTGTTTATTCCATTACATATTTTCATAAAGAAATTCTGGAGGTTAACTGTATAGTATGTTTAATAAATAAAACATGCAGTGGCATAGTAAGGGGAAAAGGCTATGGGGATACAGCCCCCCCCCCCCAAACTACACGGACCCCTCCGTAAAAAATAAATGTGTCTTACTATCATTGTTACTGATTTAAACCTATTTCTGTATCAGTATATATATAGACTTGTATATGTACGTTTACAACAGTTATCTTAAAACTGATGCTGTGTTCACGCTGATTTCACACTTCATCCCCCCCCCTTTCCCACTTCACCACCAGAACGGCACAGGCCGTAATTGTGTAGAGATACATTAATATCACATCTATGTATACGCTGGGTAAGATAATAGACCCAAAGTGACCGGACAGTGGTGTATGTAGTTGACCTATGGATAGAATTACGCCTCTTTTTCCAAATGTTGGTATTCGAACCCTCGGGCAGATGAGGCTCGTTAGCTGGGGACAGCCACTCTTCTAGGAGAGACAACTCCAAAATCAATCAAACAACTGCTGCCTTGTAGTTTGTTCTTGGTAGGACAAGGGCTTATGGAAGCAAATCCAAACAAAAAAGCAGGCTGAAATTGGAGTCAATGGCCTCAATGACGCATAATCAGTTGACACGTATCCTTAATTGTGATGGAGGCGTGGTCGAGTCAGGTAAAGCTCATGGTTGATAAATTCGAAAAAAAGTCTCGATTTCGAACCCTGTGGCAGATAAGGCTCGATCCCTTCCAACACTAAAAATTAAGAACGAAGAAGAACAAGAAATGGTTGATAACATGGCTAAAATTGCCTAACAAAAAAAAGAAAATTTATATTATTGATGGCTATATTATTGAAAAGGATAATTAACTACTTAATTTTAGTAGTAATAAAAAAAAAGAATAATTTTAAATGTTGTGTAATTCAAAGCATTTTCAGACAAATTAACATATAGGTATTTTCCAAGCTTACTTTTTAAAAAAAAACGTAACTGCATTATAATTTGTGTCTTTTTAAAAATCAATATATTCTAATAGATCTACGATCAAAAGATGAATAAAGTTTGCAAAAAACTTAATTTATTCCAGCCTGTAATGCTACCCACTATGGTCTGAACTGTGCCAACACATGCAGATGTAACGTAAACAACACAGTTGATTGCAATGACACCACAGGAGAATGTTTGTGTACAGCTGGTTGGAATGGCACCACTTGTGATGAAGATGTAAACGAGTGCCTTAATGCTAACTACTGTCCTGGTTACATGGAAGTTTGCTTTAATTTGGTGGGGTCAGCAGAATGCAGGTGTCAGATTGGTTTTCAAAGATCACTTATTGGCCTGCAATGCAAAGGTAGGGCAGAAGATGTTTTATTCTTGAGTAAATTGTTTTTTTTTAATACTGGTGATTGAATGTGTATTAAAATAATTTAACAATGTTTTGAACACATTTCATAATATTAAATTTAATTTTTGATTCACCTGATGTGTGAATATGATTTCCGGGATTTTGATCATTTTAAAATAATTTGTTTAAAGTTAACCATTTTTTTTAAAAATAGCTTTGTCATATAGATCTAATTGTTTTTTTAAAGAAATGCTGAAATATTTGATACAAATCATTTATTTTAGACATTTCCTGGATAAAAATATGTCAAATGTAAGTTATAAAGATCTTTAATTTTTAAATATGTTACTACTGTATTCCCATTTTCTTACAGCTTGTAATAACACCTTCTTTGGGTATGAGTGCTCAAATCCTTGCTCATGTGTTATGGAGAATACAGTAGATTGCCTGGACAATACAGGAGAATGCTCTTGTCTCTTTGGATGGAATGGCATCAACTGTGAAACTGATATTGATGAGTGTGACCAGACTGACTTTTGTTCTGACATCCATGCTAGCTGCTTTAATTTAAATGGATCTGCAGAATGTAGGTGTAATATTGGATATGAGAATTCTACCACTAATGAAAGCTGCCAAGGTAATTAACTTTCCAAAAATTCCATTCTTTAATAATAATCATTTATGGGTAAACAAAATTTGATGAATGCTTTGTGTCATTTAAATTGAGTCCTTATATTCTAAAAGACAGATATGTTTTTAACCATACATGTCAGTAGGAAACAAATGCATTTTTTCTCTTTTCTACTGGAACTAGTCATCCTTATAACATGCATTTTATTTCAGCCTGTAATGCTACTCACTATGGTCTGAACTGTGCCAACACATGCAGCTGTAACCTAAACAACACAGTTGATTGCAATGACACCACAGGAGAATGTACATGTCTTAATGGCTGGAATGGCACTATTTGTGATGAAGATGTTAATGAATGTCTAAATATCCACTACTGTCTTGAAGCTAATGAAATCTGTTTTAACTTGAATGGATCTGCTGAATGTCTATGTGACTTTGGGTTTCAAAGATCCTTATTTAACTACAGTTGTGAAGGTATTGCTTTTTAGTTGTTTTGACTTTGTTTTAGTTGTTTTGCGCTAATTTATATATAATATATTACCATATGACTATATGGATATTTCATTGAATATAAGTTGTTAGGTTAAAAATTAATTCTTTTTTTTTTAGTAGGGGCAGGGGGGTACATATGTCCCCGGGCGCCGACCTTAGGGGGGCACCAAAATGGGTTTGAAAAAATAAATTGAAAGGTTGAGGGGGAAGCAAATCGAAAAATCTTTTTTTAATATTTTAAAAGCATTTTATAAATAATTAAAATAAAAAATTGGAAATTCAAACACATAGTTCAGATTTTGTGAGAATTCTTTGACTTCACTCACGTTTTCTCATAGCTTATTTTATGTATAGTAAATTTTGGAAAATCAGGTTGATGGGCATTTTTACAATTCACTGATTCAATGAACAAATGCAATTATACTGCCCTATAGGATATAATTGGAAACAGTATAAAAATGTGTATAAATATAATTTTAAACATTCAATATATTTTCTTACAGAGTGTGATGAAGCACATTATGGATTCAACTGTAACCTTTTGTGTAACTGCAATATGGACAACACTTTTGTTTGTAATAAAACGTCAGGATACTGCAGTTGTAAAACTGGCTGGAATGGCACTCTTTGTGATGTAGATATTGATGAGTGCTTAAATACTAGATTGTGTGTGGACTTACATGAAGAGTGCTACAATTATGTTGGATCATTTGAATGTGGATGTGAAGCTGGATATCATAAAGTTAATAGAACTTGCAAAGGTTATGCATACTTAAATTGAAATCTTTTTTTTTACTGTCATTATTTAAGTAGGGCTTACTTTCACCATCACCACCCACATGCAATGATGCGAGTTTTTTCATTTACATATAACTCTTTTGTTATAGCTGCTTATGTAAGAAAATTAATTAGAAGTTAAGACTGGCACCTATAGTAATCAAAATATGGATAGTGACATAATTAAAGGATAAAAAATGCAAAGCAAAAAATTAATTTAATAACATTTCTCAGTTACCAATTATAAATAATTAATTAGAAGTTCAGATTAGCTGCAATAGTAATCAAAATATCTCTAGTGACGTATATCAAGAGATGCAAAGGAAAAAGTTAATTTAATAACATTTCTGAGTTATAAATGTGTTTATTTCCAAAATTACTTACTTGAATAAACATTAGTTGAAAAATTGTTATACTAATCATTGCTTTAATTAACTGTTTTACAACAGAATGTAATTCAACAACCTATGGCCCAAACTGCAAAAACAAATGTACTTGTGTTTTCAACAACACAGCTGATTGTAATGATACATCTGGAGCTTGTTTATGTAAAGGTGGCTGGAATGGTATAAACTGTGAATTAGATATAAATGAATGTCTAAATAAAAGCTACTGTCTTGGTGTACATGAAGAATGTAACAACTTGCCTGGAACAGCTGAATGTCAATGTGAACTAGGATTTGAGAACAAAACAGGGGTTTGTCAAGGTGAATCAATTTTTATGTGAATGGTAGTAAGGGAAACATTGAAATTTAAATTGTTCTTAACATTTCAGTTGATGAAACTTTTATACATGAAGCTGATTTTAATTTACCAGCTTTTAAGCATATAGTAACATTTCTATTCATAATAAGAATACATGCTTAAACAATGTTAATTTAGAATAATAAGTCTACTTAAAGTATAAGTACAACATTTAAAATTGGTGAAACAAAGATCTACTTTCATAACTTTTATAGCTTTTGCTAAGTAGAGCTTGTTAGTAATAAGAATAATGTATTAATATATATGTAAATCCAGGTATCACTATTTGTTTTTTTACTATCTAACTTTAACATTCATAAGATATGTGTCTCTTAAATTAGGTTAATTATTTTTAATTTTTTTTTTAAAATTAAAACATCTTTTTTCAGCTTGCAACTCAACATTCTATGGCTTCTACTGTGGGAACAAGTGTTCTTGTGTCATGAACAACACAATAGACTGCAATGACACAACAGGGTCATGTCTGTGTGCATCAGGATGGACTGGGACAAAATGTGATACAGATATCAATGATTGCTTGAGTACCAGCTACTGCTCGGGTCAACATGAAAGGTGCATCAATCTTATTGGGTCTGCTGAGTGCAAATGTGTGCCTGGCTATGAAAAAAAGAATGGAACTTGTCAAGGTAAACTATAATTAGCTAATATTTTTAGATCACATTTGTTATGTAATTTCAATCGAAGAAAATAAATGATTATCTGATGAATTTATGTAAATATATTTACTACTAAGCTTTGAAAATGTAATTATATATGCATTCTCATTGGTTTTTTAATAGCTTTAATAAAATAATTTTTATTTAATTAACAATTATTTTTAGTCAATTACCTGTATGTTTTAAACAACCTATTTATGTTTATTATGGTACATATTTAATCTTGTATTTAGTAAATTTTTATCGGATAGAAAAGACTAAAAAAAATTTTGATATAATATGTTTTAAAAAAATTAAAATTAAGAAAAATAAGTATGTCTTTTCTATTCTCCAAAAGTATGCAACAAAACACACTATGGCTTGGATTGTTCTTTGAAATGTGCTTGTGTCATGGAAAACACCATATATTGTAATGGAACATCTGGTGCTTGTTTATGTTCTCCTGGATGGAATGGAACCAATTGTGAAAAAGATATAAATAAATGTGATGATATAAATTATTGCCCGGATCTGCATGATAGCTGTTTTAATTTAAATGGATCTGCTGAATGTAGATGTGATAATGGTTATCGAAAGCTTTCCAGTGGAAAATGTCAAGGTAAAGTTGCACTAATATGTTAAGAAGTAAAGCACACTCTATAAGCTTATCAAACATAGGCAAGGTGAAGTAGAATTCACTTGTTTTAGTTATCTCTGCATATTAAAGTATGGTATTTACAAATTGTGTGATTAGTAAAATAGTAAACTAATTTATATTTCAGAGGGATAAAAATGTAGACAAAATAACACAGTTCATACAATTTAAAAATTTATTTTTAATAACATATAATGTTAACTGCCCACATTTTATACAGTTTATTTACTTTTCCCCCTAGCTTTATGTCCTAATTGTACAGAAGCAGAAGTTTGCTTTGATGAAACAGCTGATAAATGGATATGTAGGTAAGATATGCATTACTTGTGTTGTTTAATAACAACAATCAAAACAAAAACAAATTTCTAAAAAGGAATAAAAAATGTATTGGAACTGATTTTAAAAATAAATAACAACACTGTCCTTTATTTAGGTGCATTTACAATTGTTTTTTTTTTTTTTTAGATTTAATGATTCACGTAAGTAAAACCTCTTTTTACAGTTTGAACAAATTATCAAAAGTAAAGATTTTTTTTACTAATGAAACTATTATCATCCAGACATAATGTCTTTTGAAATCTCCAAACATAAAATACTAGTTATCATGGACAGGCAATTCAATTTTTTTTGTAGTTATACAATATGCCCTGAATAGCAATGATAAAGTGTCTAAAAATGTCATATTTTTCTTCTATTCATAATTTTAAATTAGGGATCTATCCCTATGGTCATGTCCAAAAGGATCAATCATTGCCAAAAAATAAAGAACTGGCATCAGCTAACTTATACATTGAAGATTTCATCCCATATCAGCTAAAGTTAATTAGCTCTGTTTGGGTATGTAATTAATGAAATTATTATATTATTATTATATTATTATTATCAATTGAAATATATATTTTACTCATTCAGACATTACTTATTTATGTCAGTCAGTATCTTCACACTTTTTATACTATATAAGTTTCTGTTAAAATATTTTTCTAAACAGATAACAGTTAATGGCCTTATAAGCTTTGAAGAAGAGTATTCCAGTTTTAATCCACAAAAGTTGCCAGTGTTAGACAAAAACTTGAATCAGCGCAGTCTGTTGGCTGTGTACTGGACTGATCTTGATGTTAACGAGGATGATAATTGTGAAGTTTACTATCAGGTAATTTATATCATCCCAGTATTGTGAAACATACTTTTTGTTTATTATTTCAATTCATCATGAATTTGTTCTAATATCATCTAATCAAATTTTTAAATAGTTTAATTGTATATTTTATTCTTACTTATGTTGAAAATTTTAGTAGTTTAATAATTGTAGTTAAACCTATTTTTTCAGATGTATGATTTGTATTCTAATAACACTTTGGGCACAGCTGTTTTTACCAGAGCCAATGCAGATGTTATGGCTCTCACAGAAAATAAAAGCTACAGCTCTACAACAGTAATTGTGGTTACATGGGTTAATGTACCAGCACATGGAAGTGTGGATGAGGTATTTTGATTTTAGCACACAACTTCTTTATATAATTTGCCTAAAAGAATGTTCTGATTTGTGCAATTAGTATATTGTTTTGTAGTCTATATATGTGGCTATATAGAATGCAATATGGGATGGGCACAAAAACAAGTATTATCTGCTATTGTAACTATTATTGACCAATATCCTACACCCCATACATTTTGCATGTCATTTTTACATGTCCTTAAACATTTGTTTATATGCAACAAAATCTGAAATCATATTACATTGAATGTTTTTCTTGTTTCTTTATAGCGTGTCTCATTCCAATGTGTCATAATATCAGATGGATATACAACATATGCCATATACATCTACATCCAAGGTGCTATGAAATTCAAACCCTTATCAGCCAGAAATGTTGAAGTTGGTTGGGCAAATTTTAGCTTTGATACCTCACTTACAAGTTACTACAGATTTGATACAGTTTTGGGGAACACTGGTAAATAGTCTATAGTACTAAAGACTCAAGATAAGTAGTAGTAAATGAGCATTGATTTTATAAAACTAGTCTATATTGATTTCATGTAAAGCACTAAATCTTTTAGGCTAGAATACAATATTGTTTTTGGATTAAAATTTTTTGTGTTTTGTTACAACAGGAAAACCTGGTCTTTGGATTTTTAAAGTTGGAGAAAATAAGAATTTTAAGATGATGTGCCGTACATGGTTTATCTCTAATCAAGGAGAACTGCCTAGTAAAAAATGTCTTTAAAACTATTTTTTTTACACATATATTTTTATATTTTAAGCACATGACATCATTGTTCAGTTAATTCAAATATATGATTCCAATGTTTTGAAATTATAATAAATGTTAAAAATCTTTTATGAGCAGCTATAGATCTCTGGAACAAAAATCTACTGCCTGCCTGCCCTTGTAATGAAGTTGCTGCCAAAAGTAGCCCAATCTGGGTTTCTAGCAGTCTAGCCTATTCGGATAGAAAATGCTTTGATCTATTGCCATTTTTTGGAGAATATGGAAGGGTATGGCTCTAATATTGACCTCAATTATGAAAATAATTTTTTTCTGTCTTCTATGCAAGCTGAAAAACTATTTTCTTTGATTTTCTTTTCTTCAGAGATGCTGCTACAAAGCTGATGAAAATTCAAGTTTTTTAAATACAATCCCACAAGCTGGAAGTCTTCAGAGATATAATTCTTTCATTTACAAAGAACATGATCAATTTGATGAAGACCCTAAAGACTGGTGCTGTACTAAGTCAAACTTGTGTGACCTGTACTATACTTAAAGACCAATTTTCTCATGCAATGGGAGTAACTGGGCTAGTAGTAAGATTATACAATTTGTAACGAATTTTAAGCTTAACATTTATTGTACTTGTTTTACGTTTTCTAAGGTGAAACTAAAATAAGAAAAAAATATATTTAAAATGAATTAAAAATGTGTCAGTTATTGCTTTGTATATTAGCAATTTAATTATCTTAGCTCCAATATTCAGAAATAATTTAATTTTTTTGTCATTAAAATAAATATTAAAACAGGCAAACTGCTCTTGACTATAGTTACATATTGTTTTGCTTTATTTATTTAAACCACTACTACACTTCTTATAACACAGTAAGGAAAATAATTACAAAAAACTTAAATACACTTTATTACAAATACTTTTCACAGGTTTCTTGTTTGGAGACCCCCACATAATAACCCTGGACCAAAGATCATTCATATTCAATGGACTGGGAGAATATCACTTAGTGCAAATAATAGGAACTACAAACCAGCATTTTAAATTGCAGGTAATATAAGTATATTTTGCTTTTGTTTTACAACTAAGAGCATTAAAGAAACTATATAATCATCTTTTCAAAGATTATATATATATATATATATATATATATATACATATATATATATATATATATATATATATATATTCTTAATCTTTTGTCTAAAAAAATAATATACACATTATATTCATAAATATTGGCTAAATTTTAATGTTTATGATAGAAATTAATATATCAATTAACATTTGAATAAGCAACTTGTTTTATAATTTATTAGGGTAGAACCTGTCGTGCATTAAACAGTAATGGCAATGAAACTTTAGCCACAGTCTGGTGTGCTCTATCAATGATGAGTGGTGATGAAAATTCACTCAGAGTAGAAATAAGCCCTTCAAGGAAAAGTAAGAATAAATGTTAAATATTCTTTAATCATGTTTAAACAATATAGTAATGTAATACTAAAATCAGATTTTATTGAAACTACAATATATAGGCCTATAGTTTGACCTTTTTTATTTATATATATATATATATATATATATATATATATATATATATATATATATATATATATATATATATATATATATATATATATATATATATATATATATATATTCAGTAACCCTGGGTTTCTCCTGGGGGCTGTTGAAACTTTCAGTAAGCTCACTTGAAACTTCCAGAGGTGGGGCAATTGAAACTTTCAGGGGGAGGGGGGTGTCACTTGAAACTTTCAGGTTGTGGAGGGAGCTTTTGAAACTTCCAGGGTGGGGAACAGGGCATTTGAAACTTCCAGGGGGGGGGTCAGATAAAACTTCCAGGGTGGGGAGTCACTTAAAACTTCCAGGGGTGTGCAGCACTTTAAATTTTCGGGGTGAGTGTGGACACTTGAAAACTTCCAATGAGGTTACTTGAAAATTTCAGGGGGGGGGGGCACTTTAAACTTCAAGAGATGGGGGCTATTGAAACTTCCAGGGGGGGGGGAGGTCAAATGAAACTTCCAGTGAAGTCCCTTGAAACTTCCATTGGGGGGGGGGGGGCACATGAAACTTCCAGGAGCAGACACTTGTTAAAGTATACTTTTTCTATTTTAGCTTGTACATGGGCAAGGTAAAATGTTAAAGTAATAATTGATATAATAATTGATGTATGGTATACTGTGGTGTAAAGTGAGTCATTGGCAACAGCACTAAATAAAATTTAATAACCAGGCCCAATGACTACATGAGAATTCATTGCACACAGTTTACTGCCTGTAATTAAATTATTAGTTACTTACAAAAGCAAGGTAGATTACAAGATTTGGTAATGAATTTATCCAACTTAAAATTACATTGATAAAAAATATGAGTTCAAATTAATACAGTACATGAAAAAACATATGTAAGCTCATGCTAACTGTTCCCAATAGGCTCAATCTGCAGTGCTAAAACCAGTTGTAAACATGTAGCAGAGCTAGTAAAAACTACACAAGGGTTTGCTGAGGTGTCAGTTCACATAGTTAGAGAAATAGTTGGTGGGGGCCACATCTAGAATATCAGTATGATACCTTTACTGTCAAAGGTCCTCTCTTACCCCTTCCCCCCAGGAAGAAAACAAAAACACTGCTACTTTCTGTAAAGTGAATGCTTTAAAGAAGAAATATTGTTAATTTAAATATATAAATCTATATAATATTACTAATTTTTTTTTCAGTTATGATAATATATGCTAATAAACGAGATTATACAACAGAATTCTTAAGTAACCCTACTTTTTTTACAATTGATAATAAAATGATATTAAGAAAACAAAATGGAGCTTTAGAAGTGTCTCTTCCAGGTAGTAAGTTGCTTTTATTTTATATAATTGGAAATTATTTTAATAACATTGCAAGTTCAAACATTTACTACTTCTGAAATCAATATTACCATGAATTAGAGTGTGATGTATATGTAGATGTAGAAGATGTAGATGTAGATGTAGATGTAAATATATTAGTAGATGTGGATATGGATATGGATGTAGACAATACTTAATATTTTGTCTATTTATAAAATTAATTTCAACATCTATTGCAGGTATTGGGATGACTGTTACTCTGGTAAATGAATTACTAGAATTTTCCCTCACTTTGGACAAAAAATATGAGAACATGACCACTGGTCTTTTAGGCAATTTTAATGGAGACAAAACTGATGATTTTATTTGCCCAAATGGAACACAACTCTCTGATGATTCAAGTGAAAAACAATTATATGAGTATGGCAAGCTATGTAAGTATACAATACATTTTGTATATTTTAACATACCATTAGTTACTAGCTCTGAACTTCTTTTAATATGATTTACATTTATTTTCTCATTTGTTTATTTTGTTTTGTGTATGAATGTACTGCTCTATGTTTAATAAGATAAAATATAACAAAATATCATGTATTTATTTAACTCTTTAAAACTATATATATTTTCACAGCATAGCAAAAAAATATTTTTTTCAACAAGAAAAGTCATTAAGTAGCAACATCAATAAAAATTATTTAGCCCTTTTTTAAAATAAAAATCCTTAAATAATTTTGTACAAATTCTCCATTGATTTTTTATTTTATTTTCAGGGGCAATAACTCAGAATGAAAGTCTATTCCAGTACAGCTATGGACAAAACACAAGTACTTTTTCTAACCCTAATTTTTCACCATTATTTTATGATGAACAAAATCCTACAACAATAGCAGAAGCTGAAAAGATTTGTAATGGTTCAGGAAATCTTCCTTGTATTTTTGACTTCATTGCTACACAGAATGAAAAAATTGCTGAAACTTCTTTAAAGTCTTCAGATCAATTTGAAAAAGTTTCAGTTAGCACAGGTAAATGCAAAAACTACAATACTAGATTATAATTTCTAAGTTTCTGATTCCAAACACATTTTAATTCCTTTAAGTTTTGTTGAAATTTATCAAAAATATAAACATAAAACAATGTTTTGCTGATTTTATCCAAGAAAAAACATATTATTAATTTGTCAAAAGCATTCTGCAAGTTGCTAAACATTGAAATATATAAAGATAAATAAAGATAAAAATAATAATTTAAATTGCAAAATTTTTAAAAAGGTAACTTTATTTACACTTTAATAAAAATTAGTTAATATGAAAACGCTCATGAATATTTTGCACTATTTTAATCTTCAGCAAACCAAGCCCCAAATATTATTGTCAACACAACACATGTTAGGGCTACTGTGAATCAATCTTTCAGCCTAACTCTAACAGCTTTTGATCCTGATGGTCAAGATGTTATTGTTGTTTTAATGACCAATGCTAATTATACTTTTAAAACTATTAATAAGAGAGACATATCAAAAGCTATTGCATCAACTTATTCAATTGTATTACCTGACACTGAAACTCAGATCTTGTAAGCATACTTTATAATAAAAGTCTACATGTGATAATACATTATGTCTTTAAAATTAAATGTTACATTAAATGTTTTGTCTTAATAAACTTACATTTTCTTTTGCTTAAATCCAGATTCTCATCATCTGATAGTAAAGGACTGCATTCAGAATCAATAGCAATCAATATTTCTGCATGTAGTGGATGTAGTTATTGTGGTACATGCGATGAATCTAGGCTTAGAGCAACATTAAATCCATATTTTTACTGGGAAGCATGCAACTGTAACATTGGATTTGCAGGTTCCCTTTAATTAATTACAATTTATAATACTAATAGTCATAAACATAAATTATTTTTATTTTATACTTGTTTATTTTTTTGAATTTGAAACTTATTTTAAATATAGTGTTAACAAAGTAAAACTGAGTTCAAAGTTATCACAAAGGAAAGAAACATTTGTATTTAAATGAAAAATTCAATCTTTAATCTTTGGAAAATATATTTATTTACCTTTGTTATATCAAACACCCACTCCCCCCCCCCCCCCAAGTACACAAAAACCCACAATTTATTTTTTGTCGTAAAACGTGATACTTTTATCTCTTATAATTTATTTAAATACATTAAATCTGCATGTTTTCTGTAATGTTAAAACATGCTTATGCATATAGTATTCCAAATCTGTCTAAATAAAAAATAGAATAGACTTTCAGCTATTAATGCAACCAACAGGTACAGACTGTGAAAAAGACAATGATGGCTGTGCTACCAATCCTTGTCCCAGCATGACAGGTTGTATAGACATACCAGCTTCAGAAGAACAAGTCACTGGGTTATCATACACTTGTAAAGATTGTCCTCTTGGTTATCAACTGAATTCTAAAAAAACCAAGTGTGAAGGTTGGTTTTTTGTAATTATTCTAAGTTATATTTATCTAAAATAGTAAGAGTTCCATTAAATTTGTTGTTTAATTATTTCTTTAATATTTTAACCTCTCATTTTATTATTGTTCAAAGATGTTGATGAATGTAAGATAACCCCACCTTGTGGTGCATATGCTATATGTGATAATAATTACGGTAGTTTTGTTTGTAACTGCCCAAAAGGCTTCAGAAAATCTGGATCACTCAATTGTGTTGGTAAGTATTAAACATGTTAATGTGTAGCTATATTTGTACTGCTACATTAGATTAAAACTATATTATTTAAATAGTTAAACTGACAGTGCTATTTTTTATTTATTTTACATAATACAAAAAATCTTTATTAAGCTTCAAAACATTAAATTGCTTGTAAGTAAATTTAAATAATATACCCACAGACATCAACGAATGCTCAGAGAAATCACATGACTGTGATCAAATATGTTTTAACACCTTAGGAAGTTATGATTGCAGATGTTACACAGGGTTTACTAGGACTGGTGGCAAATGTGAACTGACAGAAAAGGGTATCTAAAAAAAGAAATAACTTTATTAATAAGTTGTGTTTATTACAATGTATTATTTGATGCCTTCTATTTTACTGTGTTAAATGTTTCATTGTGTTATGAAATATCATTAATAATAGCAATCATCTACTTTTCTAATGATAGATCCATGTAAATTAATCAACAAGTCATGTGAATACAGTTGTCGAAATGGCAGTAATGGAGCAGAATGTTTTTGTGCATCAGGGTACAAATTAAAAGCAAACAACTATTCTTGTGAAGGTATTTTATTTTTTTCAAAATATACATGCACAACATCAATATGAATGACTCATTTTATTTTAAAACTTTAACATACCCTGTGATTATATATTACTTTGTTTACTTTTGTCTCAGATATAGATGAATGCAAAGAGAAAATCTGTTCACAAATTTGTATCAACACAAACGGAAGTTTCAGCTGTTCATGTTACTCTGGATATACTCTCAACAAGAATGATTTGCGCTCTTGTGACAGTATGTAATTTTAACTATTTAAAAATATGATATGTAGGCCTACAGCTTTGTTAGAAATGTTTTACCAAAAATGCACAATCTACAAAAATTTTAAAATGAATTATGTAGTATTTATATGGTACTTTTTACTAACATTTTTTTCAGCCAGTGTATTATCTTCTATAAAAAATAGTGCAGAAATATGTCTAATCCAACAAGGATCCTCACTACCTATCCAAAATGCTCAGTATTTTCATTTTGATTGTACTTTTAATAAAAGCAAGATATAAATTATTTTCCTGCAGAAGCAAAATAAGATTTAGAGATTTGTAATTTTTCCATCTGATTTCCTTATCAAATCAAAATATTAACAACTGTTATTTTTTGGTTTAGTAAAAGAATATGTTATTCAACTTAAAGTAGTAACTCCTGTACATTTATTTTTTTAAAAACTCATTAAATAATTTTTTTAAAAACTTAATGAATTAATGTGAACATTATTTCAAAAAGCTATATTTGTTTTTATTTTCAATGAATTTGGGGAACCATTTTTTTAACTTGAGGTTGTAAATAGTATTTAATAAAATATTCACTTGTCAAGCCTAAATATTTAAATTTGCAACTAGTTTATTTCACTTCTTTTTGATCAGTTTTATTTTGTTTCCAGCATGTCAAGACAACACCTATGGTTACAACTGTAGCAATACATGCCAGTGTAAAGGACGGGCTGTAAGATGTGACAATGTTAAAGGCTGTATCTGTCAGAGCAATTGGAAAGGAGAAACATGTGAAACAGATGTGGATGAATGTGGTATAAAACCTGATGTCTGTCCTGTGGATCATAAATGTAAAAATACAGAAGGCTCTTATACCTGTGACTGTCCTGTGGGTTATGAAGATATAAATGGAACATGTATTAGTAAGTTAAATTTTTTTTTCAATATTTTATAATATATTTTCAGTTGCAATTTTTTATGCATAGATATTCAGTTTCCCATAAATTGCTTTAATTAGTGATTCAAATGACTTTATTCATGTATATTTATATTTAAATCAGAAATAAAATAGGATATTGAGAAATTTACTTCTTTTCTATTCATTAGTAATAGGCTAACAGTTATCCTTTATACCATTGTTGTGTTGTATTTTAAAATACAAAATTATTTAACAATTAATATTGTTTAAATAAAATTAAAATACATTATGCTGCCTAATGTAAGTGGCATTTTTGAATGTGTTGTTTTTACCCCAAATTTGTTTTCTCAAAACTGCTGCTGATGAACAGAAAGGTAAGAGTTAGTATTACTCTAAATACTAAAATACTAAATAATGGGAACGCATGGCCTACATGGTTGAGCAATAGGCTGCTAACCTGCAAGTCTTGAGTTTGAAACCAGTTTCAATCAGTATAATGTCCCAAGAAGCGTAGCGAGGGGGGGGGGGGATGACATATGTCACCGGTCACCGACCTTGGGGGCGCCAAAATGGGTTGGAAAAACAAATCAAAAGTTTGAGGGGGTGGGGCGGGGGAGGGTGCAAATCGAAAGTTGTCCCCGGGCGCCGGGAATGGTCGCTACACCTCTGAATGTCCCTGAGTTCACCCAGCTCTGATGGGTACCTAACTCTTGTTAAGGAACGTAAGGTGGTTTGGCAAAGTGCTGACCGTGCCTTCCCTTCATATGCCTAGGTCAAGAAACATATGAATTCTACTTCATCTGTGCAATGAATTCTTTACTTTTTTACTTTAAACACTAGAAAACACCTTTCAAACTTGACATTTGTTTTAGTATTTATTGAACAAAACATAAAAAAAAATTTCCTTTTTAACCAACCAGATATTAATGAGTGTGAAACAAGAAACATTTGTCCTCAAACATGCATTGATACACCAGGGTCATTTATTTGTGAGTGTAGAGATGGATTTTTAAAGCTTCCTAATGGCACATGTAAAGGTAACTTGAAGTCTTTATGTATTGTTTCTGTTGTATGTAAACCTTATAATCATTTACTAAATCATTTAATTAAATGAATATTTAACTAACAAGAACAGTTTTCTTCCCACCAAACAGATATTGATGAATGTGAGATTGACAAATCTGGCTGTGAACAGAAATGTATCAATGTCCCTGGAAGTAGCAACTGTGACTGTTATCCAGGTTACAGGTTAAAAGATGACAGGAAGACTTGTGAAAAAGATGGTAAGTTATAGCATGCATTTACCTTAAAATTATGTTCATAATTATAATATCAAATAATAAAAATTTCAAATAGCTACTATAGCCAACCATAACTTAAGTGAATTTTTACTTATCCAAATTATACCATCTTAAAAAATAAAATGTATGTGAAAATAATTGAAAAATATCTCAATGGGCATTTATCATTATAAGCTTTAGCAATGTGTACCATTTAATTGATATTGTAGATTTTGATCCATGTGAAAACTTTTACCTGAACTGCAGTCAAGGATGTACTGTAACTAATGGAAAAGCACAGTGTTTTTGTGCTATAGGTTACATGCTGAGTAATAACCAATTTGACTGTCTTGGTAAGCCATACTGTCTTGTATATATTATATATATTGCATTACAGCATTTAATAAAATTACTCATTCTTTTACTCTTTATTAAAGTTGTATAACTTCTGTTTTAGTAGTAAAAATCACATTAATGAGCATCCAAGTCAATGTTTTTTATTTGTTTTGATCTAATAAAGATATTGATGAATGTGCAACACTGAAACTATGCAATGGTACCTGTATTAACACTCCAGGGTCATACAATTGTTCTTGTCCAGTTGGATCTAAACTACAGAATGATAAGAAAACCTGTCAAGGTATTTATATGTCTGTATATATATATATATATATATATATGTATTTGTAAAATTAATAATTTTAATTTGTATTATGCATATTGCTTAGCCATATTACCAAAAAAAATCTTCTTGAAAATTACATGTTTGTGTTCATTCTTTTCTACAAATAATATGCTTAATAAAATCTAATGCATAGGCCTATTTATCAACTCCATTTAGAAAATATTGTACTATTTTTTATTAAACTTGCAATTTAAAAATTGAGATGCTTAAACTTATCTTATTTTAGAATGTGATGCCTATCACTGGGGAGAGAACTGTGCCACAGATTGTAACTGCAGCCCAAAAGGTACATCAAGATGTGACCCCACACAAGGATGTCAGTGTAAAGCTGGCTGGGCAGGAACTTGGTGCCAGGATGATATTGATGAATGCTCAAGTCTTGTACCACCATGTCCTGTAACATCAAGTTGTGTCAACACATTTGGCTCTTTTAATTGTCAGTGTAAACAGGGATATTCTTTTGTAAATAATTATTGTACAGGTAGTTATATTTTGTTTATTTATGTGTTCAGGTGTTTTAGTTTTGTTATTATTGTAGTAGTTTTATTTATTTTGCAGATTTTGTTTTGTAAATCATGTGTGTTGCTGAACACATTAAAAACTCATGTTTAAACATATAAATCTGTTATTAGATATCAATGAATGTTTGAGTTCCCCATGTGACCAAATCTGCACCAACACACAAGGCAGTTTTCAGTGCTCTTGTTATTCTCAAGGTTTTATTTTTAACGGAACACAATGCAATGGTAGATATATTTGCTTTCATATTTTCAGAATTTATATTTTTTTATTTTAAAATGTTGTTTACATAACAAGGTCCAATAAAACTTTGATTAAATTTAAACAATAATCTTATGTACTAGGCCTATATTTTCTAATTCTAATTGAATTCTGTATTTTCAATAGAAATAAATGAATGTGCTGTAAAAGAATTAAATAACTGTGACCAGGAATGTAGAAATACAATTGGTGGATTTGCTTGTGAATGTTATGAAGGATATGAATTAAATGGAACAACTAGAAATACTTGTATTAGTAAGTTTTTGTTATATTATACAACTTTTAAAAATTTAAATTGTTTATAATTATTTATAATTGCAAATTCATTTACATGTGTACATAATTGTAGTAAAAAATAACATTTTGCTTGCCAGATCATGTAATGTTAACAGATATTACATTTTTAAAATCATCTTTAAAATGATAATAAAGTATTATTCTTATAATTAGTTGTAAAGAAATTGACATGTAGAAATTGTTTTGTAAAATTTAAGTTAGCAGCCTAAATCAGAAGTGTCCTGCATCAAACAGCTGTGAACAGTTGTGTGTACTAGTAAATTATACCCAGATCTGTTCATGTTTTTCTGGATACAGCATGATTAATAATACCTGTGTTGGTATGTTCTTTTTCTTTGCTTCCTTTGTTTTTAAAAATGTAAAATGTACTACTATAAACTGATGATTGTTCGGGTATTGTACTAATATGTATAGAATTGTTTTAAAAAGTGGAAATGTTATCTCTAAACTTTATGAAATTCAAGTGAATAAGGAACTACTTGAGCTTCTGTTAATTGTTTTTTTTTTTTTAGATATAAATGAGTGTGAAAATAACCCTTGTGTTGGTGGTGAATGTATCAACAGTAATGGATCATTTTCATGTTCCTGCCAAAACAAGACAGAACTTTTAGAAGACAAAAAAACTTGCAGAGGTAATTTGAGTTATTTGGTGATTCATTTGTACTGCTTAATCAAAAATTTCAATGCATGGTATTTTGTATTGATCATTACTAATAATGATGTTATAATGCTTTATTTTGTTTAAAGTTGCTTAAAATACTCATTGATTATTCAATTTTTTTAAAAAGAATTCCCTGTTTCATTTTATCTCTACAGCTTGTCAATATGGCTTCTATGGCCCCAACTGTGCTGAAAATTGTACCTGCAACACTACCAACACCAAACCACAAATCTGTTTTATTGAAAATGGAAATTGTGATTGTTTAAAAGGCTGGTCTGGACCCGACTGCAGTACTGATATTGATGAATGTAGTACAAGTGATGTATGTCCAGTCGATGCTGAGTGTGTCAACGCACCTGGTTCTTTTAGATGTGTCTGCAAAATTGGCTTCTTCAGTTCCACTACTGGGTGTTTGTGTAAGTTAAAATGTATCTACTTTTACTGTTTTATTGTTTGTAGACAAAATGCAAATTGCAAGTCTTTTTATGCAAAAAAATGAAGTCAGCAGCTATGAATACAATAAGTTAAGGTATTATATACCCCGATTAAAAAATGCAAACTCTTGTTGAAATAATAGTTATTAATAAATACATTTTGTAATTTTTTTGGGCACACTTTTTGAGGTGCCTTGAAGTTTAAAAAAAAACCCAGAATGACTTAGATAGCCCTAACACATTAATATTTCCTACACAATGAGTATCTGACCTCAATCTGTTCAGTTTAGTGGTATCATTTTTCATTTAACATTTTTCCATTTCATTCAGACATTTCTGTTTTTTGTCAAATGACCATAGCTCGATATAAGCGATTACTCATTATTTTTCTGCTTTTATTTTTATAAAATAGTACAGAGTGTGATATTCCTTACAAGTGGTGGTCTACATTTTATTTTAGCATGTGATGAGAACCACTATGGCCAGGACTGTAAGAAGACTTGTGCATGTGTAAAAGACAACAGCAATAACTGCAATGCTGTCAATGGAACTTGCACATGTAAACCAGGCTGGACTGGCTCTAGGTGTGAAACAGATATAGACGAGTGTTTGAACACCAGCTACTGCCCAGATATAATTGAGAGTTGTATTAATTTGAATGGATCTGCAGAGTGTAGATGTGATCCAGGTTATCAAAGAGTTGATGGATCTGACTGCCAAGGTGTGTACTAACAAGTAAAATGTCAAAAATTCTTAGCTAGTCTCTGGATATAAGCCTACACTACAACATGTCATTAGAATTAAGTAAGAAAGTGAAAAATGTAAGCAATCAATGATATGTTGTCACAAAAATTAAAATTCACTACATTTTGTCAACTTTTATCTGTAACTTCTGTTGTTTTGAAGCCCCACTTTATTTTCAATTAATTATTATTTATGAAATATAATTATACTTAATCCATACATTATTGTATCCCGAATTTTCTGGATTGTTTGTCTAATTTTGAAAAAAAAAATTATACAAGATTCTTTATATAAGAATCACCAACTCTTTGACAGTTATAACAGATCAAATGAAATGTTTTTAAAATAAAAATAATATAAAATATGAGGGTGTTACTTTAAAAACAAATTTTAAATATTTTTAAACCATAGATTTTAAAAGAGATGCATGTGTTTTACGTTAATAAGTAGTTACAAGCAACTAAAATATAAGTAACAAATATTTTCAGCAAAATCTCTGAATTTCTAAATGTACTAAATGACAAAATCTGTGTAATATGGTCATAATGTTCTGTTTTCAGACAGAGATGAATGTCTAGATCCCATCTACTCTTGTGATGAGACAAAACAATGTAAAAACACACAAGGCTCATATGATTGTGTATGTAAACAAGGTTATCTATTTGTCAACAATACGAAGCCCTGTAAAGGTTAGTTTTAACCTTTTTGGAAAAAATTGCATTTACATGCATAACTTTAAGGGGTAAACACTTGAAATGATTTATTTATCTAAATAAAGTTTATTATTACTTAATGAATAATTTATATAATCTTATTTTAATTGTTTGTATATTATCACATTATCTTATATCTTCTTCAGTGAATTTTTGCAGTTTCCCAATGCAGCTGAGATTGAATATTGTACCTGATGCAAATGTTTTTATTTACAACACAAAACAGTTTATCTCTCTTAAATTAAATATTGAAGATAGTGTAAGACTGTTTATAATGTTTTATTGTTATTTGTCGTAAAATATTACACTAAATACATATGTGGTCTTCCATTAATGAAGGCGCAATTATTGTATCATTACCACTACTAACACATCTTTCCTACTATAGCATTAAATGTCACAAGAAGCTAGACACTGCCCCTAAAGTTTAATCACACTTCAGCAGCAACTACCCCCCTCCCCTATCCCCACCACTTCAAATAGGCAATAAAAGTTATAATTGTTTTAATTTTGTTTTTTTAATGACACATTTTTGTCTTTTGAAATTGTGTTTTGTTTTGTAAAATTATTCCATGAGCTTTGCCATTAACAAGATCATTGATCACTTTTTTATAATACAAATTAAAGGCAAAAAAACTGCTAAAATTCCATTTCAAAATTTAAGTGTTCAAAATACAAAAGTATAATGTCGAATTTTCTGAACCCTTCACCATGCATTCTTCTTCATCGCACATGTTCATACAAGTCTGACCATCACCACCCTTATATTTATAAATGTGTTTTATCTATGGACTTCCTGTATGCTACAAAAGTATTATAAACATTATATTATTTAAAATAAATAAAACTATTTCAGTTAAACAAGTTTGGTGGAGATAAAGTGGGAAAAGAAATTCTTCCATTTGTGATTTCAAAGTTCACGTAAGTATAATAATATCAACTGTAATGTTGAATGAACACTTTTCAAACCTATCAGTGTCAATAATAATAAACCCACCATATTCTAGCATTGTTTTTATTTTTATTCTCTGATAAGCACTTGATGCTATACAAAACTGAACTTGTCAACAATACAACATGTCTAGTCATTTCACTTTAGTTTGATAATAATCTAGAAAATCAGCATAATAC